TATGAGAGATTCTTTGGATAGTCAAACATACAGATATTTTTACCAGGAAAGTATTTTAAATTGCACCATCCAATAGCCCAACCAATAATTGAAGGAACGCAGCTAAGTAGCCAAATTGTGAAAATCATTCCTGTTTAAGGAATTTAGTTTCCAACAAGTAAATTTAGTTAATACTATGCTAATTACGTTAATAATAAGTAATCATACCGTAACAAAATTTCCTTGAGAATAAACTTTTTACTTTACCAGGTTTATAGACTGAAAAAAGTCGGTGGAAAGCAACCAAGCATAAATTTAAAGCTGATGAATGTAATACACTTGTTACAATCACGGCTAAAACTTTACATATAATTAGGGTAACTTCATACTCGTATGCTTTCATAAAATGCGTTATTGCTGTTATGATGAAAGCTGTTGTTAGAGCCAGCAGATCAGCCACGTTAACACTTATTACAAAGGCTTTTTGGTCGAAAGTATATTTTCTTTGACGAACGAAAATGATGATAAGTAAAATATTAGATATTATTCCATAAATCATTAAAATTAATAGACAAGCAACAACTGGAAAGGAGAGTAAAGCCATATTGCGATGACACTTGTAAGCTTCTGTTTGACAATTTTTTCTACTAATAGGATCTTTCTTTTAGAACAGTATTGTGTACAAATGTACTAAGCGATGGCTAAATATTCATAAACAGTTGATTTCGATGTGGCCAACATCCGGTAGTCACACGAGACTTTTTTTGTGCAGTTTAATGACTGTACATAGCCAAAATAGGATAATTGTTAAACAGGAAAAAATAAATGATTAAGATATCCGAAAGCCTTATAAAGTAAGGATTAACGTCTGGCTTCTAACTAAGAACTTTATAGTTATAAAATACCTTTATATATAGACGAAATAAGTTTGATATTCAAGTAGATTCTTTATATAAACTTTGTAAGCTAAACTATTATTTTCCATAATTAGACAATATAAGCTGCAGAATTTCATCTTTAATTAAAGAATAAAAGCTTAATCTATGTTTCTAATCAACATAAGCCACAGGAGATTCTTTAAAAATCTCTCATATTTTTTCACTTTCTCCGAATACAATATATTCTTTTTATTAACAAGGAAAGAAGTTTAAGTATATTTGGTGAAAAATAGTTTGTTTCTATAGTCGAGTTTCACCGAGTGCAGCTAAAGAGAAAACGGTGCTTCTTAGAAAAGATCTTCTGTTAAATAGAGCCAATATAATGGTTTGTACTTTCTTTGCTTCAATAAACCTTTTCTCGATTATTTCGTCTTTTCTTGAGAAAATTTATTGCTTAATCTTTCTTTTGCTGATCTATTTTCCTCTCTTCTCCCTTCTCCTCCTCTCTGTCTATTTTCCTTTCTATCATAGTAGCCATCTTTTAATTTACTCTCTCTCTCTCTCTCCCTTTCTATCTAACTATCTGCTTGCTATTTTTTACTTCTCTTTGCAAACTGACCTAGTCTAAAAAAGAAGTCGATAAATCACCAAATCAGCACTTTTTTTGTCTGACGATCTCCCACAACCATCATTTAGGTCGCCCTTCGAATTTAGTGTTACATAATTAGAATAAAAAAGCTTTTGTAATACTTTGGTTGTCATTATAATCACTTTTTTTTTACGTCTATATGAAATAGTGCTTACAATACTAATCTAGTGTAGATAAGTAATCAGCTAACAACATCAAGTAATCCTACCACGGTGTTAAAATTATTGTTAATAAATGATCAGTTTCGATAACTAATATTGTAATATCGATAGAAAAATCTTTTTGTATCAAAAAAAAATGTGGCAGCGGTGGGATTCGAACCCACGCCTCCGAAGAGACTGGTGTTTTACTCTAGTTCAACTAGACCTTAAACCAGCGCCTTAGACCGCTCGGCCACGCTACCGTATGAGACAACGGTGAATAAAAATTACAGTTAAATTTGAATAAAACAGTAAAAAAATTTGATTTGCATAACTATTATAAAATGATATTGAATTTATTAATCTTTTATGGATTTCTCATGGGAATTAGGAGTTTTAGGCCAAAATTTGCATTAATTTAATACTATTTAGCAAGAAGACACAGTTATCTTAAATAGATAGAAGTTTGAAGGGTATGAAGGGTAAAAATGTATAAAACTGCTAAAATAACATTTATAGATGAAGACGACACAACCTTGGAGAAACTGTTCACCCTAAAAATGTATTTATCATCTTAAAAGTGAATGTACTATTCCTTGCTTTGATTCTATCAAGAAATCTTGGAAAAAATCAATACAAGTAATAGAAATGTCTAATCGAATATAGGAATAAAATTTTAGAGCAAACAAATTTTGTCTTTGGTATTCAAATGATTAATTCATGTAATTCAACTATCACAACAGCTCTTAGATTTCCTTACTGTCTTCTGCATTAAAAAACTTCTTAAATTAAATATACAATACTTAAGAATAATTCTTCTCTCTCTCTCTCTCTCTCTTTCCACCTAGTAATAATTTAACTCAATGGCTTTCTGTTACTCTCTCCCTCATCTTCCTTTCGTTTTTAGATTTTTGTTTACAGTAATATATCAGCATATGGTACATTTTCAATATAAATTGATGTAGGTTAAAAAGATATAAAGTTTTCTCTGCCCTCTTTCTTTCTCTCTTTTCTTTCCATTTCCTTCTTTCTATTTTATCTCTTTTCTCTTCTTACTCGGTTAATTTCTTACAGACTTTGTTTATTTTTCTTTTTTTCACCTCTTTTCTTTTTACAATTTCACGCTGCTTTGGTGAATATTTTAGGAGAAAAATGATTAAATATTATAATCAAAAAACCATTAATTTTTAGAAAACTACAATATTGAAAGGGTTAAAGTTTGAAAAATTCTAATTTCCTCGGTCTGAATCCTTCGAGAATAAACAATATAGAGAGGCTTTTATTCTGTTTAAGTCAAACTTTTATTGTTATGACATGCATGTCTTTCTTTTTTGTAGAATATAAAATTTTTTTTCTTATGGGAATTTCGAACAAATTCATGACTTTTGGAGGATGATCTTAAGCAGGAAATGTGAAAATAGATTGGGTTATTGGAAAGTTTTGCACGGAAATTTCGATGCGTAGGGAAAAACAAAAGTACCATAATCTTGACCTATATTATTGAGAAATAATGATCCGTTCCGTAAAATATATTATTATAGTAGAAATAATTTATATTCGCGTTGTAAAGTTGCTTTTAAGATCTTGGTACAAGAATTTAGTTTTATCGAGTATAATTTCAGAGGCAGTTGAGTTTCTAAAAAGGGAAATGAAGCTTAAAAGATGGAAGAGATAGGATTGGATAGATAAAACAATTGGCATTATATACCTAAATTATCTACAACTTCCCTTATGTTTAAACGAAAGAAATATATTATAAACCTTACTATTTTCCTATTTAAATAAAAAACTTATAGAGATATTACTATAAGATAAAAGGAGAAAGAAAAATAGAATGAAGAAGATATTACAAAAGAAGTTTGATTTTCCTAAATATCTAAAGAATGGGTTAAAATTTCTAAATAAAAATAAAAAGAGACAGAAGAGATAGTGAAGGAATAGTATATGTGATAGAAAACACAAGTATTCGATTTCCAAGTAATAATGCTTTTCCGTAAAAGACTTTATTGCGTGGAAAAGTAGGCATTTTGTTGGTAAACCAATATGTATGGTCTTTCAAAGGGCACTTAGTCATCTATATTATTTCTAGACTTTTAGAAACCACACATAGTATACCTTCAATTATAAAACGGAAATCTCCCTGAACTTTTAGGTATTTCTTCTAAAAGCTTTTGAAGTATATACAATAAAAGGTACTAAGATAACAAAGAATGAAAAATATCTATCTTTTTTAATATAAAATAATATAAGGAATCCTATTAGTTGTTGCTTTGGAGTTATAACAATAATTATGAAAGTAAAAGAAGGTAATAAATAATTAAAGCTATTGTTCCGTCTCTTTTCTCCCAATTATCATCAATAATATCTATTTAGCTACAAAAATAAACTCCTTTCGATAAGTCATTTACACAATTCATTATCTTTGAAAGGGAATTGAATACTATCACTGACTCTTCTATTTTCAGAACAAAATCTCATCAATACACTTGTTCTTCTATTAACTCTTTTTTTTACAAGAGCGTCTAAATTGTAATGCCAAAGATTTGTGGAGATGTTTGCTCTATTTCTTTCTTTTTTTACGTTTTACTTCCCTATAAATTTCTTGCATAATTTAAGAGAGGAATTTCAGTACACAAAAAAATTAACTATTTAAATAATATATGATAACACAGTAATAAAATTCATCAATAGAATTGAAAGAGAAAACGAGGAAAACTTATAACATTGACCTAGTTTCTTTAAAATATTCAATTATAAGGAGTACTTTAGTTGCTCGGTAAAAAATATTTTAAGTGCAGATAATGACAAAAAAGAGTAGAAACAATGATTAAAGTAACGACAAAAACTTGAATTGACCTACATATAAAATATACAGTACATTTATTTATTTATGTACGGGACCACCTATTTTAGACGGCTATTATTTATTAAAGAAGTTATAGGCTTTTTTCTTAACAGATGATGAAACTTGACCATTGATCTCTTAAATATCAGCTTTAAATCATTTTCTTAAAGTTTTCTCTCTCTCTCTCTGTCTCTTTGAAGTGAGTTTGTGATGTATTTTCCAGTCTATTGCAATTGAAATCTCTTTCTAACATATTAGTACATAACTATTATTGTTAGCGCTTGAACAAATGGACCTATCGTGACCTATCTAACTAGGTGATTTTACAAACAATAAACAAATATTCTTCGCTCGAAATTAGAAAGAAATGTAAATATGAAGACGTCTTAAGTAATGTAGAAGATGAGATTTACAATATAAATATACTGAATTCTAAATAATAGATTAAAATTCTTAGTTTTAGCACAAAATAGAAAAGGCCTATAATAAATGGCCAAATTCAAACTTAATACAATTTATAGAAATACTGTATTCAGCAAAACGCATGGTGAGATTTTTCAAGTATAACAACAATCGTGCAAAAAGACACAAAAAATAATAAATAAATAAATAAATTAATTAATATTTATATTAATAAAATGGCAACAGACTGATGAGATAAATTCCAGAAGGAGTTGTTTTGCTTGTTTTTGTCTATTGGTTGAGAGTGCGTGAGAATCAATTATGGTTCCTTTTCATTTGGTATGTAATTTGAATTTGATGAAGAAACTTTACCTCTATGAATTAATCTTTTCATTATCGAACCAAGTAAAAAGTCAAAGATCTCCATAACGCTTATCACTGATCCTCCAAGTAGCAAACCCATAAAGCCACCAACCTCACCTATTATGATTTAAATAAGAGATAATTATTCTAAAGTTTTTTCTCAGAACAATTAAAGTAACTTACTAAAGAAATTTCCATAGTTATAGGCCTTTATTTGTTCAACCCTTTCATATTTTAATTGGGCAAAGAAAACGTCCATTATTAAGAAATTTTTCCTAAGAAATAGAAGTGAAACAATTAGTAATTAAAACAGTTATTTGAGTATTTTACAAAACTTACTGCACAAAATTTTCATTTAGCAACATGAGATTCCTGTATGTAGAAAATTCTATTTTTGCTTTTTTTAATGGTACTTCTACATCAATTTTTAGATTTAAGAGTTGCTCATTAAATTCGACTAAGGCATCATTTAGAGGATTAAGATAAATATCTGCTGTTTCTTCAATGATACTTTTTGCCATATCTTCAGAAAACATCTTTATATTATCAGGTAAAGATAAAGTAGAGTGAAGTTGATAAGGTTCCTTAGCTTCTTCAACGTTTCCAACCAGTCTTAACCAAAAAGTCATATTTTGAAGAGTATTCTTCAGAGAAGTTTGTGCTTTTCCTTCAAAATGATCCCACAAGCCAGCTATTTTAGACACGAGGCCTGTGTATCCATTCTTGATTGTTGCGGAAGCTAAACCAACGTCACTAAAAGTTGATTCACTGAGTCTTGTTTGAATTTTGCTTCTGAAAGATAACAAATCGGCAAGATAAAAGTCTATATCTGTATCAGTAAGAGTCTCGGATATATTCAATTTTGAAATATTTCCTGATCTATATCCTTCATACAGCATCTTAGTGGTGGTCGCTAGTTTTCCTAACGTTTCCCATTCGTTATAAAAATCAAAATTTTCAATAGCAGAAGAAGTGTTCTGTGATCTTTTAGTAGCTTCATCCAATATTTTGACTTTCCAGCTAAAAAGTTCAGTCCATTTGTTTAGGTATGTATTTAAACAAGTTTTAACTGCATCAAATCCATCTATAAAAATTTGAAAATTCTCAATCTTTTGAGGATCAAAGTATACTGAATGATCTTTAAGTGAATCTACATCATGGAATACCTATTAAGAGTATTATTATATAATTAAATACAATCAGTGTCTATTGTAGAAATGTAAATATATTTGGATTTACTTACCTCTCCTCCTTTTTCATAGTATGAATCTTTAACTTGAGTGCATTTTTTTCTCTCTGCGTCTGTAAGTTCTATCTTTTTTGGTAGATATTCCTTTATCGGTTGTTTTATAAAAGGAGACGCCCGATTTTCAACGTAATTTCTGTACAAATGTACAGCATCCCTATGTTTATATAGCAACTCATTGGCAGAACTCATTTCTTCTGGTGAAATTTCGTGTCGTCTATGAGTATCTATAACAATCTGATATATTCTGGATATCACTCCAGCAGTCTCATCGTAAGTTTTCTGAAAGTTTAATTTTGCAGAATCATAGGCTTGTTTATAATATTTAACAAAATCACTAAAATCATCGAAGACTCTATTAATATCAGCAATAAACTGATCAACCATATATTTTTTTGCAGAAAGGACCTTTATAAAAATGGATTTTTTGGGATTTTTCGTATTATCTTCAACAAATTTTCGCAATTTACCTAAACCTGTATTTAGATTGTGCAGTAAATTAAGATTTTTTAGGTATGTCTTTGAATCCACTTTTTGATTTATCTCTCTAGCAGTCTTGTATTTATTATATAGGTCAGTTGTATCCGAATTCAAGACTTTCTCTACACTTAAACTTGACAATGATGCATAAGAAAGAGATGGTTCGTAAGCCGATCTTTCACATGGTTCGGAGCAAATACAAGATAAATTCTTTCCAGCACCAAGTAATTGATCTTCTACGCCTATAATACAATCGAAATAGTTACTGACGTTGCACATTTGCGGTTCATTTTGGGCTGTTGCGGGCATAAACGAATCTCTACAGCCGCAAAGTTTTTCCACAGCATCCGTTTCACATTCTCTTTCGCAAGATGAATATGTATATTCTGGATAATATTTCAACGGTTTTGCGCCACAATTACCCCATGGGCTTTTTAATCCAGCAGCTTCGCTGAACTTAACTGAAACTAACGAGTGTACTCCTGCTGCTGCTGCAAATCCTAAATCTCTTATAAACGGAACATCTCTGTATTTACTAAGAAACACTTTAACTCCGGCGTCACTTTTTGGGCCATTCATGTACTCATACTCTTCTATATTTAAAATTAATGATAAACCAGAGCTGGAGCCAGTTTTTGTTGTTGTTAAAACGTCATCTTTTAATGGTGGACTATTAAATGTAAAACAAACACCATAGTCTGTGTGATTTGTAGTAAAATTTAAATGAGAACAAGCTGTTCCTTCCCATGAACATCTATATATTATGTCGTTTACTTGATGTGCTGATTCTGATCGAAATGTGTCTAACTCCGTTATATTCACTGATTTAAGGAAATAAATTGATTCAAACTATGAAACTATTTCAACTTGGATTAATACAAATTTACTTACACTTATTAACATTGGCCATAATTTCTTTTCCAAAGAGTTCAGAAGCTTTAACACTTTGATTTAGGAAATGCCCTAGAGTTAAAACAATTCCAGTTTTAACCTGGTGTAGAGCATCTGTTTCTCCGGAAGATGCTAGGAAAATTATTCCACTTGTGGGTATTTGACTGACTGTTTCTGTAGACGTACTACTAGAACTTGATGTCTTTTTCAAATTTTTGCACTTATCTTCAGGTGGACGTGGAGTTGGATCTTGCTTATCTCCGCTCTCTCCAAATCCACTTTCTTCAGGAACAATAGGTTTTTCATCATCTCCACTTCCACTTCCACTTCCAGGAGCAGCTGTTGTTTGAGCTGGTCCACCCCCACTTCCAGGAGCAGCTGTTGTTTGAGCTGGTCCACCCCCACCTCCAGGAGCAATTGTTGTTTGAGCTGGTCCACCCCCACCTCCAGGAGCAGCTGTTGTTTGAGCTGGTCCACCTCCACCTCCAGGAGCAGCTGTTGTTTGAGCTGGTCCACCCCCACCTCCAGGAGCAGCTATTGTTTGAGCTGGTCCACCTCCACCTCCAGGAGCAGCTGTTGTTTGAGCTGGTCCACCTCCACCTCCAGGAGCAGCTGTTGTTTGAGCTGGTCCACCTCCACCTCCAGGAGCAGCTGTTGTTTGAGCTGGTCCACCCCCACCTCCAGGAGCAGCTGTTGTTTGAGCTGGTCCACCTCCACCTCCAGGAGGTCCTGGGGCTTCTCTCTTACGTCTCTTTGGGGGTGGACCAGGTGGAGTTGGGTGGTCCATGTTTTCTTCTTCGTCTGGATGAGGTGGTTGAGTTGGTGGTGGACCAATGTTTACACCCTCACCATTATTAACAGTTTTGTAACACTCCGTACAATTATTCTCATCAGATTGGTCAGGGCAGTTATATTCACCATTGCACACACTTTCGGTACCTATACAAAGTTTGTCTGTCTCACATATATAATAATTTGTACTTGAACAATAGTTTGTTATATTTGGACAAGTTCCATTTTCAAAACTTATTGATTGAAGCATGAATGAAAACTTGTCGTGAGTATATGAGACGGATATTGATAACTTTCCTGTTTCATTCATTTTTTCTGTCAATTGTCCCATAATTACCTGCCTGTTTGAAAAGAATGTACTAAATAAGCTATGGGATCAAATAAACAAAAACAGCTTACGTGGTTTCAGAAAACTTTAAAGCTAAATTAGAAGAGATGTCGATGAGAGAAATAGTTTTATCAGACTTCCAGAAATAAAGATCAGCTTTTAATTTAAACAGCTTAGCATTTAAGGGTAAATATTTTATGATAAAACAGCCAATATCCTGAACTAAAACTGAAGGAGAAACTAATGTGAATTTATGTTCATTAGAAGATACTTTTCCGGGTGTTGTTTTCATTGCTGAAATGAAATATAAGATGAAATAAATAATACTTATTTCTTCTATACTTAAAATCACTTACGGTATGAATCATACTTTTGCCAACCTGATACTGAATAAAGCCAATAATCAGGTGCTTTTGATTTATCAATATAGCCGCAGGCCTTAGAATCAGAAAATTGGCACGAGAAAGACGAAAAATCTTTAAGTTCTGGACGATTTTCACATGTTGTATTTAAGAGACTTATTGACTTTATTCCAATTACACCATAAGGATAATAAAATGAATTCATTTTCAATGGTCTATAACTAATTGTCAGATGTGATGATCCTTTTAACATATCATAGTATAAAGGTTGAAACTTTTTCGAAAGTAGGGGCCATTCTCGTTGATTTTCTGGGATATTCAATGAAAAAATCTCTCTCTTACTATTCTCAAATTGTTGATTGATGCTAAAATATCCATAGACTTCTTCAATAAAGGCAATGTCAATGACAACGCAAACATCATTCGGGAGAACTACATTCGGAGATGTTATAGATGATAATAGTTGGGCATTTAAATTTGCTTGGAAGTTCAATACAGAGACCCCACCATTATCTAAGAGATAAAATAATGATAGATTTTTAAAAGGAAAATGATATAAAAATAACATATATCATTACCAGTATATATAGATGAAACATTCCAAAATGCATTCGACTCTGACTCCCTCTGGTAGCCGCATAAAAATGAAGGATCCTTTGAAAATGTGCACTCAAAAGAAATATCTGAAATATTGTTCTTCTATAAAACCATTTTTAATTGATCAAAGTATACATACTCGCTTGGCATGAAACTATTTCATCAGAATTGTCAAAGCAATCATTCACACCATTACACAAAGCACTTCTACTGATTTCTTTTCCGTTATCACAAGTATAATTCTGTGCGTTATAGGAAGCTGCAATGCAAAAATGCAGTTTTCAAATTATTATCATTTTCTTTTAAAATTTTTAACAAACCATTAGCCGGTTTTATATAGTAGTTGCTTGCTTCTAAGCATTCATCACTCTTAATGCTGACGTCATCAATAGCAATGTCAGATTTCATTTGGAAATTCATTTCTGCTTGAAATATAATTTTGTATGGCTTTGAAGTTGCTTTAATTCTAATTTGTTTTTTAAGCCATTCGTCGTCTTGTGTACCTTGATACCTCCATAATGTTTTCTTTTCAAATTCACTAAAATATTGAATAATGGACAGACTTCCCATTGAGTCAATTTCTGAAAATGTGAATGTGTAGATTGGATATTCTTTTTCTGCTGACTGATCTTTTCTTGTATATTGAAATAAATAAAAAGTTAAACAGGAAGTTGTATTCCCTTTAGCATAGAAAGGAGTCTCCAAATTTGCTTTTTGGCCTGTTTGTGCCATCGAATTAAATGAATCAAAGAGCATGTAATATCCTGCTGTAGAAGATGTCGTATGATCCACCCTTAATTCGTTTGTGCCTATTTTTGTTGTTTTAGTGGCTCCTTTATATCTCTGCCACATTAATTGTCCCTGTGTCTTTTTAACTGATTTGAAACCGCAGGAACCATCTTTTTCAAAGTCACAATCAATAGAAACATCTGTTTAAGGAAATCTGATTAAATATTTTCCAGTTTTGAGTCTCATTTATCATACCGCAATTGTTGATTTCGTCAGAGTTGTCACCGCAATTGTCTACTCCATTACATTTAAGAGTTGTACTAATACAAACTTTATTATTACAGGTAAACTGGCCTTTATTACATGCTATACGAGTTAAAATGGATATATTTAATATTACGAAAAAGCTACTAACTATATATGTATTTAATACATTATATTACTTACGGCAATAATCTACAATGCAGTTTTCCCATGTTCCATTTAATGATACGTAACACCAAGGTCCAGTTGCCTTACTATCAGGATTTCTGCACATGTTTCCGGCACTCTCCAAATCTTTATCAGGGAAAACCAACAAAGAATCTTGTGATTTTTGATATAAATAATAATAAGCTTTCTTCCACGTCAGGCATGTCTTGCCTGTTTCAGAAATTGTTGTATTGCCTTGATAGTCGGTACCTATAGTACTTGCTTTACAATTCTTCAGAATTCGGTGGCAAGGTGCTATAGTAACGTCATCAATAGCTATATCTCCCAAGGCTCCTGAACCTATTATTGCTTCAAAGACTATTGAAAAGAGACCGCTTTCTAATCTAAGGAAACCCCTATTCCAAAGATCAGTAGTTGCTGGTGTAGTTCTACTCCACAATATAGTTTCGTTAGAATCTGGCTTTTTCCTTAGAACTGAAAAAACTCCAGAGTCTTTTCCAAACATATTATAGTAAAATTCAAGACAAATTTCATCCTCGGCTTGGATAAAGGGAGATGTTAATCTGGCGAACTCTCCCTTATTCCTATTCGTAGCCTCGATGTAGATATAATTTCCATGTCCGCTGGTGTGATCATTTGGAGGTCCTGTTGAGAGAGTTCCAGTTGGGCCGCTGTTCCTTATCCATGGCATTAGAGAATCACTTTGAGAAAAGGAGCATAGATCGTTTTCAAAATCGCATGTAATTGGACGATATTCTGAAAATAAGATATAACATTTTCAAGTAATTATTTTCAATGGAAAAACTTTCAAAACTAACGTCCATTGCAACGCTTCCTGACAAACATATTCATAACATTCGTGTCAATTAATTTCGCTTCGGAACTACTCTCAGGTGTAATCGATGTAGGATGGCAAGTTTTCGCTACCTTATTATAAGCGACAGCGTTACAAGTATTATCTAGAAAGTTTAAACAGATTTGTTCACAAACTGCCTCTGTAACACCTGAGAAATTCTGATAGAAAAATTCTAAACCAGACATGAATTTATTCTGATATTTTACAAGACTATCCGAACACTGGTCAAGGCTTCTTACAGTAGAAGAACTTTTATCCGTTGCAGAGAATTTTTTATTAACTTTATCATACAATCCCATTTCATATGTTGCAGTTGTCCTATAATAGTTTTTAATTAATTAATTTCTATTATTATTACAATTATTATAAATTTATATATTTAAATTTAAGTAAATAGTCTCTTCACTTTTTACCTAAAGAAGTTTTGATTGCATATTGTTACAGATGGAAACTGTAAATTATTCGAATAGACTATATCCATATTCACAGATTTCGGGTGTGTATTTAAGTGACTACTTCTTGTAACCACAATCCAAGTAAATCCTCCAAATGCACTCAACACAATTACAAGCCATATTAACTTCTTAAAGATGGTTCCTTTCCCCGTAATGTTCTTAACTCCATGGAAAGTTGTATCTTGTGTAAAGTCTACTATCTTTTCTTTAAATGAAGGTTTAGGTTTATCATACGGTGGAGGAAGGGGTGTTGTTTCGGGCTCTAATAAATGACGAAGTTATGAAAAATAAAGAACAAGTTATCTTTTGAAAACACTTACTGGCTATTTCTGGTTTTTCTTTCTCTAGTTTTTCCATTGACTTGACATTGATAACTCTAGATCGAGCTGAAGTACGTCCACTTGAAGGACGGGGAGATGAGAACATCTCCATCCCGTTTCAAGTAATAAACTAAATTAGTGACATTGACAAACATGAATATAAAGTATGGTTAAGTGCTCATCACTTAGTGTCACAATATTCATATTAAATTTTCAAAGTTAGTTCAGATGTTTCGAAGGTAAATATTCTAAATTGAACAATAGCAGAAATTGATAGATAAATATATTAATAGATCCTCTTTATCGACTCTTACTTTGCAATTAGCAACAGCAACTATTTCAGTAATAAACACATTATGACTATCCAAAACACCTCATTTTATGATGTTTACCATTCAAATAGATAGTGAACTAAATTTTAACTATAGGTTAATAGAATATCTATTATTTATTATAAAAAAGTCGTCTAATATATAATGTTTAAAATACTTAATATTTTAGTTTATGGATAGACTTTAATGAATTTGAAAGTTACATTTTCCACGGCTGATATAAAGTTCACTTTTGCATTATTCGAGTATTAATACTATGTAAGTTTATAAATATTTCATATCACTACGAAAGACTGTTTATACATTGGCTTTATGAAGTGTTTGGGGTCGTTAACTCTTCAAATTTCACTAATAAAAACATATCAGGATTATTATTAATTAATTCGCTAAAGAATTCATTCTGTTTACTATAAGTATTTATTTAAATAAATTCAAAAACAGAAGTAGCTACTAACGTAGCAACTGCGTGTAACATTATGTAAATAACAAATATTTAAGAAAACATCCCACTATTGTACACAGATAATTAACATATTGAATAGTACTAAAAATACATAGGTATTTTGAAAAGTTTTTGTTACGTGCGAACACACATTAATGGCAAATTCATTCAGGAAAAGAGCTTTGAAATATAAGTTTAGAAAAATGATATTATTGTAAGAGTTTATTGATCCGTTATTATCGTCTAATAGGTTTTATAAATATATAATTTTATTGTCACAATGAAAAATATGGTTGTTTATCACTAGTTTTTATCTGTGTTAGAAAGAAAAATCTAAATGATGAAGCTAATTAACATTTAGGTTTATTTTTTTTATAGGTAAAAAAAAAGTAAATCAATTCATTTAAATATTATCTAAGTATCCTCAGTAATAGATATTACACTTTCTGCTTCAAATTAATACTGATTATAGATAATGATTCCTATCGAATGTTGATAAAATATATGAGCGTAGATAGTTTAATCAGTCTTACAAGATGAAATACCATATACACTTCATTGATTTTGTTTAATGTTTGCAAGAGAATTTGTATAGAAATTAATATTAGCATCTGAAGAAGAGATTAAACATTTATATTTTATGAAAAGGAAGCTTCTTATTTCAAAATTGAAATTTCAAGAGTGAGAAAATGGAAATATCAACTTACTACTCTACACTCACCACTGGACAACCAGAGGAAGGATGGAGAAAGAGGCTTAGAACAGCCTATCAAATTCTTATTCCTATTACTCTTGCTTTTATTATGTTGGCTATGGGATGCGATATTCAACCGAAAGTTGTTATTAAAACATTAAAAAGGCCTTTAGCCCCAATTATTGGAGCATCATGCCAGTTTATTTTGCTACCGCTAGTAGCTTTTGGAATGGGTAAAGCATTTAATTACGAAACTGAAATTGGTGTTGGGATGCTGATTGTTGCTTGTTGCCCAGGTGGTGCAGTTTCAAATATTTTCTGCTATTGGACAAGAGGTATATAATTTAAATGTTGTGCATCCTTCTCCTAATTTCTGGTCAAGGATTATCAAATGTTATCAATTCGGTTTATCTATATGTACTGTATTGAATATTTTGTAACAAGAGAAAATTTTATATATTCCTTACGTTGTATAGCTTTGTAATCTAACTCGACGAATAATTTGTTCCACTTAAGCATTGATAAGCTAATCATTTTTTAGAAAAGGTTAATTAAATTGGAGCATTTACTGAGAAAATGTATTTTTTTTTATCTTGCAGGTAACCTTACTCTGTCTGTAACTATGACCAGCATTTCAACAGTATTAGCTTTCGGATTTATGCCTCTTAATTTATTCATATATACTAGAGGTTTCAATAGCCGAAATGTAAAAGTTCCCTATTTGGAAATATTTCTTGGTTTAGTCCTAACTCTAGTACCATTAACGATAGGAGGATTCATAAAGCGATTCTTTCCAAAAGCTGCAGGGGTTTTTATTAGAATAGGATCTTTTGCGGGTATTGCGATGATTATTATGGCGGGAATTATGCAAAGGTTTATATATTCAAACAATGCAAAAAGAAAAGATTCTTGGAAAATTATACTTGGAGCTGCAATATTACCGCTATTAGGATTTTTTTTGGGTATGTATATAGATTTAGAAAGGCTCTTTTCTCTTTGATCTCTTCACTCTTATCGTTTACAAATAATATGTTTGTTTTATTAATTAAGGATTTGGAATTTCCAGTTTAGCATTTAAATGGCTAAAAATGCCTGAAAGGAGAACAATAGCTTTTGAAACAAGTTGTCAAAATGTTGGATTGGCTTTGACTTTAGTTTCTTTTGCATTTAAAGGCACCAGAGATCAAATTGGTGCTTACACTCAATTCCCACTATTTTTCTCCCTATTTATGATGGTTGAAGCAATTGGTCTTTGTATTTTTATTAAAGGTTATCAAATTTATAAAGATAAAAAGAGAGTAGTACACGAAAGTCCGCAAAAAGACAATTTAGATCAGAATGATCATGGAAAAATACCAGAGCTCACAGAATCTGAAAATGGTGTAATAATTAATAAAGCATTTATGGATAGTTTTCATAAACTGTAATTTCAATGCTAAATTTGAACAGTGAAACAAATTAATTTAAACCTTTTGAAATTATTGCTAATTAACATACTAACGGGAATTTTTCTAATTTAAATATCGATTATATGCTGTATATATATATATATATATATATATATATAAATATAATAAAATATATAAACTTATAAGTATATGAGAAGGACAAGTATAAACATAAAAAAGAAATAGTTATTGCTTTATAGAAATATAAATAACTTTAGAGTTAATACAGAGTCAATCTTCCTTTCGAAATTCTCTTCATTCGTATTCAAATAAAATTTCTTTAAAAATAAAACAAAGATGCTATGCCCTATATGTAATACTCTAATATATAAAACTAAACGTTTCAACGTCTTTATCGTCTGATTTAAGGCCTTGAAACTTCAGTCTGCTATTGATTAAATACCAAAAATATTTCGATATAGGATAGTTTAAACAATATATTGTTTTAGATAGACTGAATGAACAAATTTATTACATTTTATCGGCGGCGGATATTAGAGTTTTTTATTTTTATAGTTCACAATATAAGCATATTTCATAGAAAACTATATTCTTCGTTTACATATAAAAGATAAGAAGTATAGATCTAACGCATGAATGTTCTAATTGTTCCTTATTCACAAATTTCTTAAACAGTCATTTACCTTTCTATTTATCTATAGTTTAAAGATTTAAACATGCAGAATACGCTCTTACTAAATAATTGTGGACCTGTCTATCATTCTTTCCACCATTTGATTCTCTTGTAAATTTTTTCATTAAAAGGAATTTTATAGAATAGAAATTAATCTATATAATTGAGAATAATCTAAAGTGTTTATTAAACAATGTAATATGTTCTTGAACATATTGGCTTGAACAATAAAAGAAATTAAAGTTTAATGTTTATTCAGCAAATTATTCAATCAATATTAAACAAAAGATAAATTAGCCAAAATTATCTTACTCATTGCTAAAGTAAAATTTATAGCTTAAATTGTTAGTTTTTTTATCAGCTGCCAATTTTTCATTTTTTGTTGTAGTACGCCTACGTATACGTCTAATCTGATGATAAGAAAATGTCTCCTGTTGTATATTTGCTATCTTATCAGCAGTTATGGGTATATAAAGCTTCTCCTAAAAGTCTCTAAGTCACAAAGTTTCTCTAGACTCAAAGAAAATCATGTACGGCCTTGCTGGTTACGGAAGAACACGTAAGTATTGATACTAGTAAATATCACTAGACAACCTTATTGTAAGAAAACAATTATTTCAATTCAAAAGAAAAACCCATTAAGTTACAAATTATTAAACAAGTTATTATTGACGTCAATAGCGGTAAGAGATAATAACTAGAATATTCTTTATTAATGAATTAAAACGGATAGTTTAGTATTCTTTGAGTTAGTTGCTTATTTTTTGTTCCATTGTAAATTACCATTTAGAGCGTCAATAATGAATAAGTCTATTATCCATATTCCAATATACATATCCAATTATACCAGTTAGAAGTATATATTCTCTATATTGGTTTATATTCAATAATATGTCATAGGTAAATATGTTTATCAAATACCATAACCTATAGTATTTGTTTTAAAAAGCTAAAGATTTATTACAGTATTATCAACAGTTAGCACTATCTAATTCAAGCACGTTAGGACACGTCAGCAAACCTCTTATCGATATTCCAAACATTCATATTTTCTTTATCTATCCTTTGAATTGTATCTGGAATTTGCTCTTCTTTAGTCTTTATCTTTTTATTATCTATTTACTACATAAATAAATTGTTTATGGCATTAGTATTCTCCTAACTAGAAAATGAAATCGAATCATCATCTTGTTAATATTTACTTTTTTTCTAGTTATGAAGCACCCAAACTGGGTTTTGTGCTACGGTGGAGATATCCCAGATAGAGCATTCCCAGCTGGCATCAGTGAAGATGGTGAAGCTGTTCTTGTTGGTAGATTCATCATTGAAGATGCTCTTACCCCCGGTATTTAACAAAACTTAATATCAGCTTCAAATAGTATATCTAATTCTTTAAAAAAATATCCTACAGGAAAAGTTAAGGCATCCCAAGGCAAATGTTACGTTCCATTCGGTGGTGACGAAAAAGATTCTGAAGAATACGAAATCCTAGTTGAAACTGATGACGCCAGCTTTGATTGGCTCCCAAACTCCGGTGGCAACGTACCAGTAGGGGCTGTTATTGGCGGTTACAAAGCCGATGGAAACAAAATCTACATCGGAAGAACCTACCACGAAGGAAAAATCATCGTCGGAAAAGTTAACGTTGAACAAGGATGTCTTTACATCGCCGATTCTGGTGCTGAACATAGATACGACGACTACGAGATCTTGGTCTGCAAAACCATAGATTTATAAGTTCAATATTAGAGAGAACGTAAATCCAGTCAGTTCGCTTCTTTAAAAAATTTAGATGAATAAATAGAAGAAAAAAATGACTCCTTTTTCTACTTTCAAAGGAAAAGAGAGTTTAACTATTTGGGTAATATAGTTTTTCCTTAGAAAAAACTCTGATTTTTATTAGATAAATAAAAGTATAGAAATATAAAAATGCTAAATGAAAAACAGTAGTTTGCTCTTTCATTTTTTTTAAAAAGAAAAAAGAAAACTTTTAAGCCAAATGATATTAAAACAAGTAATACACTATAGTATCTTATTTATGATTATTCATCAGCATATACATAACTATAATGTATGATTCTAAAGGTTGGCGTCGTTATCTTAAGAGGTTTCTACCTAACAAAAATATTTTTGATAAAAAGAATATATAAGCTAAAGATAGATATGGAAGCAAGTTTATTATATTAATGAAATATACGTACACATACACTGATTGTACTATATATATTATTCTAACATGTAGAATATTCTAGAAATTTTTCATATTTCTGATCTGTTAATCTTAATATACTGTTTAGCATCTATTTAAATTAACATAAATTAAGAGGATGCTATTTAAATATCAGTCTTGTATACTGTATGTAAATAATATAGATTTCATTATTTGTTTCTTTTTTTAGCATTATATCTTTGTCTCTCTCTCGCTCCTTCTTTCTTTCTCTTTTTCTTTCTCTCTATCCATCTTTATTTCTCTTACTTTATAAATTTAATATTACTACTTTAAGAGAAATAATAATGTATAATCGGTATGAAAGAATATTGAATCGTTTCATTTGTATAATATGGGTCTTAATATGCCGTCCCAGACAACACTTAGGCCCGAAGCTGAGAAAGGTCATAGTATTATATTGAAAAATACCACCTGTTTTACATTTGGTCCCTTTGCTCTCTCAATCAATCGCAAACTCAAGGTAAATATTTAAGTGTATAAGTCTCTGGTTTTAAATTTAATCTTTCATGTAGAATAATATACCGTTAAAACAGCTCATTATATATCATTAAAATGTAGATGAGATTCAATGTGTTAATTGCATTTGACGTAATATATTGTCTATTGTCTTTAACGATAAAGAGGATAAGAGTTTTCTCTTTTTTGTCTCCATTGTCTTAAATTTACGAGCTAAGGAATCAATTATGTCTGAAGGGTTTTCACTACTCATTATACCGACTGAATTGTATTTGGTTTCTAAAATGCTTATGTTTCCTAAATTCAGTGTAAAAACTTTGGAAAGAACTAGATATAGAAGAATATGGATGTAACTCAGCTACAAGCACAGTTCAGTGATACATTAACAAAAACCAGTTTATCAATAGGTAATAGTATTAATCTTTTCTCCCTTTTCAAACTATATCAAACCATATAGTAAAGTATTACTCTTATTATTATAGGCTTAATTCTGGGTGTGAAAATGAAAATTTTTGATACAATCCTTGCGCTGGATTCACCTTCGACCTCGTCTGAAATAGCTAACAAATGCTCTTTGAAAGAGAGGTTTGGTTTAAATAGAATATAAGGAAAGTTTTATAAAAGCTTCTATTGCTTCTTATAAGATATGTCAGAGAATGGTTAGGATTGATGTCAACTTCCGGTATTATTTCGGTCGATGGTACATCCGAATCTGATAAATTTTATGCCAGTGACGCGCTAGAAACGGCACTGAAGGAAAGCGGAAGAACATTAGGAATTTTGGAGAATTTGTTAGCGCTTCTTCCCCATTTGCCTGAACTTGAAAAGTGCTTTCAATTAGATGGACCGAGAGGTTAAACAATGACACCACTTTTACTTAAAGATTATTACTATTATTAAAAATCATAACAATAATAAAATATTATTGGCAGGTATTCCTCACGAAAGATTTACAGAAATATATAGACTATTTGACCTGAATTCGTCACGGAAATTTACCTCGACCTTCCTCCAAGAATTTATTGGTCACGTTCCAGACGTCATAAGTCGTTTGAGTAGGGCTAACTTTCAAGTTGCGCGATTTCAATTTATGTGTAACCAATATATTCCTTACCTGTAAATTTTAGGTCAAGGTGGTGATGTTCTTGAAATTGGCTGCAACAGTGGCTTCTCAACTGTCGCTCTCGCAAAAATGTTCAAAAAATCAAAATTCTACGGCCAAGACATTTGCAAGGAAGGCATATTGAGTGCTAAACTTCTTTCACGTGACATGGAGAATGTTAACTTTTCTATTCAGGACGCCTGCAAAAGAACTGGGTTTGATGAGGAGTCCTTTGATTGGATTTTAGCAATGGATGTTATACATGATTTACCATATCCCGATGCGGCTATAAAAGAGTTATATAGGATACTAAAAAAAGATGGTATTTTGTCGATAGTTGACATAAATGCTCATAGTAGACCTTCACAAAATTTAAATAATCCAAGAGCTACCTTTTTGTATGCTATATCTTTATGTCACTGTACACCAATGTCATTTGGTCTACCTGACAGTATGGGACTAGGTGCAACGTGGGGTAAAGAAAGAGCTAAAGATTTGTTTGAGGAATGCGGATTCCGTCTGGAATCGGTGCAAGATATGGAGAGTGATAAACTTCAAAGTCACTACGTATTTAAGAAACTATTATAGATTAATTCTTAACAATTTATGAAATTATCTCTGTAAATTAATTCCTGTAACAATTACTAAAACTATGTTAACATTTTTCTACCTAATACACTCTTGAGTACAAACCAGTTTCGCTATAGTAGTTCAACGACCGGGTCATTTCGGTGACATTTAAACCAAATAAGAAAGGAAGACGCGGTTTGAACGCAAACTCTTCACTTTCACTTTATAAAATTAAGCGGTAACAGTAACAAAGAGTTACATTCATTAAATGGAAATTTTAATTGTGAATTTTTAAAAGATAGAAAACGTGCAAACTGGTAATGACAACTATATTCTATATTTTGTTATTTATAATATATTTTACGACAATCTTTCCGCCATCTTCTTTCATCTTTCGTCATTATTTTATTTATTTATTTAATTTTTAAAAAAATGGCAAAACATCCGCTATTTAAATAAACTTTTAACTGAAAGCATAAATTAGTTGTCGGGCAAAAACAAATTTATCTAACATTTATAAAAATTAGAAAATTAATCCTTCTATATCTACGAATAAGTTTTAAATATATAGGCTTACAACTGTCCAAAATGTTGAGTTTTTTTTAGCATATACGTGATCCTAAAGTTTCATTACAAGAGCTGCTATAGGCATATTTTTTTCAATACTCTTTTGTTAAAAAAAAACAGTTTCACTTGGCAATCTTTCTTAAAACGCATCAGATGGTTGATCAGGATGGTGAGTACTTTTTAAAACTTATAAACTATATAGATTCTCAATTTTGATAGATAAGTTGAGTTTATATACGTGTTCTTTATATAAATATATTTATATATATGATATAGAAATATATATTTGAATATATATAAATAACTGTATTTATACAGTTAGACTTAGAAGAGCAAAAACATAGTAAAAAGTTTTTTACTTTCTTAATTTACTTTCAAAAACTCTGTTATTTATTTATTCAAAAAATATTAATAAATATTTTTATTAATCATAATTTATAGTTAAATTATTAATTTTCTTTCCTTAATTTGGATATTTAATACTTTTTAACATTGCGTTATACTTACTTTCTATTCTTTCTTAAATGATGTAATTATACCAAGAACAACAGTCTAATAGATAAACTGTTTATTTATAGTTATTTTACACAAGTACATATAGTATGTATGTGTATTTATAATTTTCTTACTAGTAGCCTTTGAAACTTACTAACCTCCAATACACTGGGTACATAAAAAAATACGTAATATGTATTGTATCACTGTAGTATGAAAGTAGACGTTTTCTTTAAAAAGACCATGATGTTTGTAAAAGCAAAAAGAAATAAGGAACATTAATTATGTTGTTAAAAGGCAGTGCAATGTTTTTTAGTATATTTAGAAAGTTTCTATTTTTGTTTCTCTATATAGGATGGGAAAGAGGAAAACGAAGACAACCAGGAATTTGGTACTGTTCCTTTAAGAGATTATGGGAATCTTGCACATGTCCCATATGGAGATGAAGAACAAGACGCTCAAAGTAAGTAATTGAAGATAGGACATGGAAACTTTTTAGTATAGAAAAAGAAGATGTTTATTTCAAGGAAAATTGTCTAATTTCTATTAAATGAAGTTAAATTTCTGTTAAATGCGTAATAAATATTCGATACAAAGGGTGAATGCTTTATAACTTTTTGAAATTGATAAATTAGATTGGGCATAGTTTGCTATCTATCATATGAAATCTGCGGCACGGATCGCCACTGTCATTTAAATAAGACATTTTCATTGTATATTGGTAGATTTAACCCTAATATTTATTGTATAAAATTTAGTATATACTGTATATATCTATATAAACATACAATCAAGCTTTTATTAATATTTATAAAACGTATTAATATTGTTAAATTGTTCTTGAAATGTGTTTTTCACATATATATATGTGCAAAGATAGATAACTTGTTAGGTGAATGAACTTTCATTAACCTTTTATAGGGTTTATCTCATAAAAGCATTTTTCCACAGTCAGCAAATTTTAAATTTTGTTTCTGTCCCTTTTAGCTTCAATGAACTAGATATATAGGCTCAGGTTTGAGAGAGTTTCCCTCATCTAAATATAAAGAAGAATTAGGTGAATGGAATTTTTCTCACCCCGATTCTTTCGTAGGACGTCTGAACTGTGAGTCACCTTTACATATGGGTCACTCATTTCCACGTATCAAGTTCAAATCACTTTCCCAAGGTTCTGTTGTACAAAATTTAAAAATTTGACCAAATTTCCTTTTAATATGTTTATTGGTTTATTAACCAACTTTCTAGTTATATCTTTATTACTTAATAGTTTAAAAATTTGATGATATTAACTACTTTGAAATATTATTCTCTACGAAGGTTGAATAAGCGGATAAATCCTAAATTAGAATACCAGGGCATATTGTGGGTTGTACTGTTACTCAGCAATTTCTTTAATTTTAACTTTCTATATCCAGAGTAACTTTTTGGGTATTCGTTGACTTTGTTTAAAAGTGAATGCTTACGTGATTTTTGTATCGACAGAAAAAGAGAATCTGTTTCATTAAAACAGAATTTTCTCCTAGGTCATCATAGGGAACATTATGTCGTCCCATCCATGTTTACTGCCTTACATGGACAACCGAAGAGTACTCATGATTCTTTTAGAAGAGGCCGTCATAGGAGGCGTCGAGCAATGTCTATAGAATCTAAAAGAGGGGTAGATCAAATTTTTCATTTTCTTCATTATTTCATTTAATAAATATTATTGTTTTGAAATGTAGAATCACTCAAAAGATGGAAAGAAGAAAAAATCCAATACTGAAGTGGTAGAAGAAAATAAAGAAGAAACAACCCCAAAATTTCCATTTCCTTTACCAAGAAGCGAAAGTACTACTACTCAAAATAGCTCTGATGGTCGAACGATGACTATGATGCAAAGTTATTATTCTTTAATCAGTTATTTAAGTTTAGAGATAATTCAATTTACACTACTTTAAAGGGAATTCTTCGTCTCATCGTATGCAAGAATTACTGGAAGGAAAACACGACGACGATGACGATGACAAAGAACACATTGATCATACACCGCATACTCTTTTCTGTGAAATGGATGTCCTGAGAATAGAGAGTTCTGGAGAAAAACAATTTCATGAAACAGCTAGATGGTTAAAATTTGAAGAAGATGTCGAAGAAGAAGGAGAGAGATGGTCAAAACCTCACGTCGCTGCCCTTCCGCTCCATTCTCTTTTTCAACTTAGAGATATGTTTGCTAGTAGATGCGCTTTCTGTTTTGATATCCTTGCCAGAACGAGAGGGACAATTCTAGGTAAGAAAGAACAAGAAAATTAATAAAACATCTTCTAATACATTAGTATAAATTAATTTTTCTTTTACATAAAGAAAATATCATGGATGAATTATGTAACATGAGCCTTCTCCAAGAAAGTAAAAAGGAAGATGTTTATAGAATTATGATGGCTAATGTTGTTCATTTACACGAAGTTGGCAAGCATAATCACAGCGGCTTACCAATAATAAGAAGCATGAAGGAAATCGCTGACAGAAAAATGTCTAGAAAAAGCAATAGTATGGAGGGTAAAGAATTTAAACCAAAATTTTCATCGACGATTATTAATATTCATTTACTTTATTTAGATGATGAAGGGTCGCTATCGAGGAGATCAAGTACAGCAAGTTTAAATGGTATGCCAAATGTAGTTCATAAGGTAGTTTTATTATTGAATATTTCTTTATCTCATATGAAACAAAGCTACTCAGCTAATTGTAAATTCTTTTACAAATAGCAAAATGCTCATTTTCGAAAGAAGATTCCTCCGGATGCGGAAGCGACAAATGTCTTAGTTGCGGCAACTGAAATAGTTGATGAACCCATGATGTCATTTGTAAGATTAAGGGAAAGTTCATCGCTGGATGATGTTACAGAAGTAAATGTTCCAACAAGATTTATGATAATAATTTTGGGTCCAACAGAATTGCATGCTGAATTGCACGAAATGGGTAGATGTATTTCAACTTTAATGTCAGATGAAGTAAATAAGTTTAAAAATCTAATATGAATATACAATAATATTAACGATAATCAATTTTAAAGATCTTCCACGAAGTAGCCTATAAAGGTGTAACAACCGAGGACTTTCTTGCTGGAATTGATGAATTTCTTGACGAAGTAACTGTTCTACCACCAAGTGAATGGGATCCAACTGTTCGTCTCGAACCTCCTAAAGCAATTCCTGATGCTGTATGTATGATTTATTAGACTTAAAACAATTGACTTATTTTTTCTGTTTCTTATAGCATACTAGAAAGAAATCGATAATTGTTGGAGAGTTGGTAAATCCTCTATTTCATCAAGATGATGATAAAGACGATGATGATTCTCATTCTGACACAACTTTAGTGAGAACTGGAAAGCTTTTTGGAGGATTAGTTCAAGATGTAAGAAGAAAGGCTCCATTTTATCTATCTGACCTGAAAGATTGCTTGCACAGCCAATGTATTGCCTCTATATTTTTCATGTATTTTGCTTGCTTAACGCCAATCGTAACATTTGGAGGACTTTTGGGCGAAGCTACAGAGGATAATATTGCTGTTATGGAAAGTATATTCGCTGGAGCCCTTTGCGGGGTTACATATCACTTTTTGGCCGGTCAACCTCTTACGATTATTGGTTCTACTGGTCCAGTTTTGGTTTTTGAAACTATCACATTTGAATTGTGCAAGTAGGTTGAATTATTGTCTACGTAATTTGTTAATTTTATATAACAAAATTGATAATTTACATAGGAGTTTGGATTTGAATTACTTATCATTAAGATTTTGGATTGGATTATGGGCCTGCCTTATCCTTCTGTTAATTGTTGCTTTTGATTTATCGGCACTTGTAAAATATATAACACGTTTTACAGAAGAATCGTTTGCCTTTTTAATAGCAGCCATTTTTATTGTGGAAGCTTTTACTAAAGTTTTGGATATACAAAACGATTATCCTGTTAACACAAATTACAATGATGTGCCGAAGTGCAATTGTGCGACCCCCTTTAATTACACCTACAGTAATTCAAGTGTACCTCCTAATCTTAGTAATTTAACTATACCTTTCAATTCAAGTAATTTAACTACGAACGACTATCAGTCTGTAAAGCTAAGATATGGAGATTTTTCAAAAGAAGAATGTCAAAACAGAAATGGAACTGTTGTAGATCCTCTGTGTTTTCCAAAGGATAACGTTTACTACTTTTCTATTTTATTATTTGTTGGAACGTTTACTGTGGCAATGTATCTCAAAGGATTCAGAAATTATAAGTTCTTTCCAGCTGTAGTTAAATCAATACTGAGTGACTTTTCAGTAATGATATCAATAATTATTTTCTGTCTTGTTGACTATTTGGTTGGCATAAAAACGCCTAAATTAAATGTACCCGAGTCATTTCAGGTAACCAGATTTATTAAAGAAAGAGTAAATAATTCTTTATTAATAAGTTTATTAAAAATATTTTATAGCCAACAAAACCAGATAGTCGTGGTTGGTTTATTAATCCTTTCAACGGAAATCCTTGGTGGACGGCTTTAATTGCTGTAGTACCAGCTTTACTTGCAACGATTCTAATTTTTATGGATCAGCAAATTACTGCTGTAATAGTAAACAGAAAAGAACATAAATTAAAAAAGGGTGGTGGATATCACTTAGATTTATTTATAATCGCTATCGAAGTAAGTAGGAACAAGTAAAAGAGTAATAACAACAAATTTACATTCAATGTATTAAAAATAGATTGGTTTATGCTCGATTCTTGGACTTCCATGGTTCGTAGCTGCTACAGTTTTATCAATAAACCACGTTAGGTCGTTGTCAAGAGAATCCGAATGCGCAGCGCCGGGTGAGAGACCGAAATTCTTAGGGGTAAGGGAACAACGTGTTACTGGAATTATTGTTTTCTTACTCGTTGGATTTTCTGTTTTAATTACACCGATTTTAAAGGTAAATTTAACTTTTATCTCTTATCTTGTGAATGGTCTTGAGAGTTACAATTGATTTATTCCGTAGTATGTACCTATGCCCGTCCTATTTGGAGTATTTTTATACATGGGTATATCGTCACTGAAAGGAGTTCAAGTAAGAATATACTTATATATAAAACTTTTTATTGCGGGAAGCCGTCTAAAGTACAATTTCTTTTTTGTGTAGCTTATGCAAAGAATCTTTCTCTACATTATTCCAAAAAAGTATCAGCCTGATTATACATTCCTACGTCATGTACGTCTTATTAGAGTACACTTATTTACATTTATTCAGGTACTATTTACTCCTTTCTATTTAATACTCGTCTATTTCATTATTTAAAATATTCATTTCGTTAAAACTAGATTGTTTGCTTGGGAATTTTATGGGGAATAAAAAAAGGAAAAGAAGCAGCTATTGCTTTTCCCGTTATGGTTTTAGCAATGTGTTTTGTTAGAATGGCTCTAGACAAATTATTTACTAGACACGAGTTAAAATGGCTAGATGATATCATGCCTCAAAGTCACAGGAAGAAGGAGGACGACAAGAAAAAGAAAAAGAAAAAGAAGGCTGAAGAAGAAGATGTAAATGCTGTATTTTGCTTAATTAAGACCTATTCTTAAAAATTATTTCTTACAGGATAGTACTATTGAAGTTTCTGGCGGTGTTGTTAATTTACAATTACCATCTGGAGAGACAGTAAATATAGCATTAGAAAGAATCAAATACGATCCAAAGACTAAACTGGTAAAGAAGTTGTAAAATAACATATAATTGATTTAATAATCTTCTATAAATATATATTTATCATTTAGTTAAAAATATCAGAGGAGATTAAACAATCAAACGCAAATTTTGAAAAGTTCGTTAACGATCGTTCAAATAAGAAAGATAAAAACGATGTTGAGAAGTGCAATCTTCCTAAACCTCCTTCATCATTATCATCTGGCAGAAAATCTTGTGATGCTGAGGGTGAAGCAAACCATGTAAAGTTTTTCATCGCCAACGAAGGGGAAGCCAATCAAATTTCAGAAAGTTAAATATTAAGAAAAAGGGGTAGGGAGGGGGATACAGATATAAAAATATATAAAAATACATATAGGGAGAGGAGTGGAGAGAGAGAGAAAAAGAAAGAAAGGTAGAGAGAAAGATTGAGGTATATAATTAAAAAAAAAAACAAAAAAAAATGACTTTCTATCAAAATCAAGTTAAAAGAGAAAAAATGAAAAATATTTAATTAGTTTGTATTTTAAAAAGATAAATTAAAAGACAAAAACTTCTAGTTACACTGAAAATTTTAAAGAAAAGTATCTTTGCTTTCCCTAGAGTAGAGAAACAGAATACTTAAATATGAAAAAGTTAGAAAAAAGAAAGATAGATACACGGCATTACATTTTTCTTTATTATTATTTTCAACTTGAATTTCTTTTTTCTTTTCTTCTTCATTTTCTTTTAAATTAATATCTTTGATTTTAAAAAATGTGCGTTTTTTGTATACTAATTTGAATATTGAATAAATTAGAATATTATTCAATAATCTCTCAAAAAAAAACATAAAATATGAAAAATATGTGAAAAAGAAAAAAAGAAAAAGAGAGAGAGATTTTATGATGTATTATTTATTTTTATGATTTTAATAAGACTTTATATATACTGTATATATAGAATACTCTTTAACTATTCAACCTTTAAAAGTTCATTACTTTTTAACCTTTTTGTTGCACGTTTATTGTAAAAAAACAAGAAATTACTATTAATTATAAATAGTTGTTAGAATTCATTATGAATAAAGCAGTTTACTCCTAATGATCTAAAGACTTATCTCAACATTAATTGAATATTATAAAAATTAATATCTGTTGTTTTTATATTAATATTACACTAAAATGTATCATCTATCTTTATCAGTTGGAGCAAATGTTAAATTTCCATATGCTACTTGAATGTTTTCAAAATATAAATAGAGTGTATTTCTATCTTTTAAATAATTATTACTAACTATTCATACAGTATAAGGGAGAAATATTGATATATCTTGAATATTAAAATATCAACTTAAAGGTGAATTAATGCTGCAATATTTGACTGTTTTCGTATATTTTAATAACCTGCTCGAATACTGTATATAAACTAAATATTATATATATTTACTGTGTATAATTGATAATTATATGTTTATTTTTATTTCGATTCGTCGAAGAGAGCCAACATAATCTTTACTTTACAACACCAAATGGCGTGATAAACGTAATTGTTTCCTGCTGAACAATTTGTACCATCTGTACAATCGTCATTTCCACCTGATTAATTAAATAATAATGTTTAATAGACATTTCTTTATAAATTTATCCTATTCGTGCAAGATATTAGCTAATATAGATGAAAGATGAGAAAATTTTTCTCACCTGAACCGCATGCACCACCTACAACTTCGTCAGTATCGCATTGTAGATATTCACCATAATTTCCACATTTCCAAGAACAGTTTTCTAAAGTACTGTTGTTTTTGGCCTATCACATATTCATCATTAATATTAAGTATTATAGAAATTAGATAAATTAATAGACAATAAACTTACATTAATCGGGTTAGATAGACTTTGTCCTACAGAAATTATAAATAGGAGAAAAAGAAAAACTGAACAGTTCATTTTTTACGATCGTTAACAACTGATCTATATTCTTAACTTGAATAAGAGTTTATCAGTATGAGAATATATGAGAAAAAGCAGTTTTATTCTCTTTACTTACGCAATTCTAGATAACAGTTAACGAATTGTTAATTATTAATGTAATATTTTTCAGTAAAGGCTTTATATAAATATATTATATATATTAATATACTGTAGTATATACTATACTCTTTCTAACCGTCCATCCCTGCATTCATATCTTCTTTCTACCATTAATTTTGTCATTCTATATTTTCAAGGTCATTAAAACTAATAATAATCACCAAAAGAAGTATTTTTAAGGATTAATCAATGTACGCCTAACTCTTCATTTTTAATGGAAAATGAATCGATTTTTTTAGAGTATAATATGCAAATACGAAAATAAAATTATATCAGTTTGGATTCTTTTTTAGGCCTCTAATTAGGTTTTTGTAATTTTTTGTCTGTTAATAAAATGATCTCATTGAATTTAAATTTTCATTTATTTCATTAGTCTTTTTTTCATTTGTTATCTTAAGGGAAAAAATGCTTAACAAAGAGTTCTTTACTTTTCATTAACTACTAGTATCTGCTAATAAGGAATACAAGTGCTGCCATCTCTTTCGATAATCATAGATTTTCAAGAAGAAAACCTTAAAAGACTTCCAGCGGAAAACCTAGGTAGATTACTATAATCCTAATTTAGAATAAAATTAATTAACGTGTTTGTACAAGTTGGTAAATATTCTTTCTTTTTGCTGATTCCCTTCAAAATAAGAATAAAGGTAATTCTTTACTATAATATATGATATGATATTCTTGAAGAAAACTATTCTATCTTCTAAGATTTTTTTTCTTTTACTTTCTTATTTTTAGAAATTGCTAGATGAGAAGGAAGATGTAAGATATTATCATATAGAATATATTTTCGAGTATAGTTGCCAATTTTTATGGCATTTATTTGAATTGACCTTGAAATAAAAATGCATATATGCAGTATACGAATTATTATATACTGCATAAATTAATAGACAAAATCTATAACGTTTTAAAAAATTCGTCTATATTTTTTTATTATTTGCTAAACAATTTTTTTTATAAAAAATTAAACCAAAGGTTTTAATGATTGAAACAATTTTACGGTCTGTATCAAAGAAGGAGGGAGAAGAGAGAGAGAGAGAGAGAGAGAGAGAGAGAGAGAGAGAGAAGGAGGGACGGACGAAGGGAAGAAGGGGGTGTAAAGATAGTAATTTTATTTATACTAGTTATAATCCAACGACATTATTTTTTTTTTAAATTTAATAGTAGAATAGTAACTTAAAACTTGAAAATGTTTATTACTGTCATGTGTTTTGGTTAACACAATCATGTGGACAAATAAAAACACAACAACAACAATAACGGCAAGATCCAATTCTATATTCATATAAAAAAGTTTATTAGATGATTGAATAGCTAAATTTTACAATTTCTTTCTTATCTTTCTTATCCTTATCCTCCAGAACAAAAAGGAAAGTTTTTCCCTAGCTGTATTGAATTCAATGAGATAAGATTCTTAGGGGAAAAGTGTATTTTGCTTTATTCTGATTGTGTTTCTTTCTCCATACACCAAATTCAGATTGGTTTGTTAACGTTAAACATCTACTTCCTGATATCTTTTGTTATATTTCCTAGTTATCAATCAGCTTACATCTTTTTTTTACTCGGTTTTGTTAGGGAAATCTATATTGTAATGATTTATTTATCTACCTAAAGATATTTCGTTTTGTTATGTTGCTATGCTTTGATATAAAGGAATATAACGGGATAGCAAAAGAAATACTCTTGTAAAAGTTGCAAGACTCTGGTTAACTTCGTGTTTAAAAAAGTTCAGCATAAAGTAAATGATAGCATCAGCAGCCTAGGGCCATTTTTCATGCGAAAACTCTTCTGGGTATCTTTGTTTCATCTTCGTTTCTCATACTTTATTTAAGACGGCTGATTGCGCTTTTTGATATACTTGATTAAACGTAATTAATTAAGAGCTTATCAAGGCAATCATAAAGAATAGAATATTTTGACAATCCAGGTTAAGAAAGTGCTAGATACATTAAAACTTTAGTATTGAATGACAATTAATTTCTTTTTTATTGCTTGCGATAAAAAGAACAGTTGGTGTAAAAAACCAAGTTTTGTTTACGTTTTTTACTAATGAAATTCCAAGTACTACTAGGCTAAATTTTTAGCGGAAGTTCACAGTATTTTCGTTACCCATCCCAAATTTATTTTTAGCAGCAATTTTACGAAGCGGAGTGATAACCGTACTAGTGTAAATTTTTACAATAGATGTTAGATGAATTTTTTCAAAATGGTAGCCTTTTTACAGCTGAAGCAACATTTTGCTTTTGACGGGTAATGTACTGAAAGGATCCAATCTATCTTAATTTGCATAAATTCGCCATTTTGTTTAGATTTCTGTTTTCTTCGAGATGAATTTAAAATAGATCGATTTTTCGTCGACAGTAAACACTAGAAGTAAAATATAATTGAAATAATTAACATCGTTCAGGTATTTTGAAATACAGATATTCAATTAGAATTTGCATTTCAATTCTCTTGGATTTCTTTGATTAAAGTTTACCAAACATAGCCAGTATATCATATCCGGAAACAAAATATTGTATTTTGGCCTGGTTTAAATTTCAATAAAGTATCAGTCAAATTTATTTAGCAGAAATAGAAATAACAGATTAATTCCACTATATAACCTCGCAATATACGTAATTATACGATCAATTCACTTAATATTTTTTAACACAAATTTTGTCCTTTCAGTTTCTGACGTCTAAAAAGAAAATGTAACAGAAAATGATAGAGAGTAAGGTTTTGAAGTTGGCAAACAATAATAAAACTGTACAGCCGTCTAGGTAAGTTAGGTTCTAAAAGTAGCGTTTAATGAAAAAATAGTAAATAGTGTCATTAAATAAATAAATACAAAAACTATATATATATACTAATATATGTATGTACCTGTATTCAAGGATAAGTAAATGTATGGATAGTGTATTATGATAGTTGTTTTTATCAAGATATTATTTCTAGAAGTCTAACATTTCTCAAACTGAATTGAATTAAGGACCAGTATTATTTAAAATGCAAATTATTAGATTAAGGTAAGCAATGGATGATAATTAAGTAAAAAACTCTATTTAGAACCGGGAAAAAGGATATTCTACAAGTTCTTTTAGGTAAAAATTGATAATGCATCTATCAAAAGAACTGAAGCCATTTATATACATATATATATATATATATATAGAACACATATACTATGTGTCTATTGCATATTACCAACACTCTTGGGTATGCTCAGTCTATTGAGCAGTCTTTCCAAAATTTCTCACACCAATACGCATTAAAAAAAAACCTATACTACTAAAACTAACAGATGAGAAGAAATTCTTTGGATCTTTTAAATAGATTTTATTGAAAAGAGAGAGAGAGAGATTGAGGCTAAAAAATAAAAAGTTTTCTTTCTATTATGACTTTCTTTAGATATTGAAAAAAAAATATAAGAGCTTATTTATTAAATAATATAGTATATTTATTATGAATTGTCATTCTTACTATAGTAAAGGTTGTTTTCTATATCTTAAAATTCTATTCTCACGCAAATATGAGAAGGAAGAGCATTTTTGCTGTAAAATTTAATCTAGAATATGTGTCTATTGAATGTAAATTAAATTAGCCTTAAAGTTCGATATTAGTGATATTTACTTCTTTCAATTGAAACGAAAATGTTATTTTTTTACAGATTAGTAAACTATAATATGACACCGGTTAATGGTATTAAATTCAATCATGTGACATATCCTCGGTCACTATCTAATTCACCAGACTTACCAACATCAAGTCAATCAGAGAAAGCACCAACTGCTGTCATCGGTTGGACTTGTGTTAATGGTCAAGCGGTTCAGAAACCAAACGTTCCAACAAAGAAAACATCTATATATCCATCTTATCCAAAATCGAAAATAGAATTTCAAGAAACACCAAACATTCAGGTTAATAATTCAGTTCAAAGGAAAACAAACGAGAAATGTCGATTATATCCGGAACTATGCGAAAAATTAAAGAAAAAGGGTTCCACTGAAACTATTAGGACTAATTCATTTAAAACGATTGGAAGCTACAATAAAATGAAATATTCAAAGATTTTAAAAACGAGATTGAAAACAAAAAGTCTAGCTGCATTATGTGAAGATTTAGTAGAAGAGGAAGAGGAAGATAGAGTATTGCTACCGTCTATTAGTTTAGGTAAATTTTTAAATATTAACATTATATAACATTATCGCAATATGCACCAAAAAGACTTATATACTGTATATATATAGTTGAATAATGAATTTATTGTAGAGGTAATTTTTTTTCAAGACTTATTACTGTTGCCTTTGAGAGAGAGAACAAAGCAAGACACTTTTATCCTTTTAAACATATTATAAAAGTAATCCTATTTTAGTGTCAACTATATATATGTATGTCTTTACATACTGTGCACGCCATGTATCTTAAATATAGGCTTAAATTGATGAAATTACTTTTAATTTATAAGAATTATAAAAACAATTGACAGTTTCTACTTCTGACGAAGATGAAAAATCAATTAAATTCTCAAAGTTTGATCAGAATCATCAGAATATATTTTATCCGAGCCAACTATCCGATGATGAAGACGACAATGCTGACTCAGGGTAAGTAATTATGATTTTACTATCTAAATTTATTATCAAAGACCAAACTATTAAAAAATCACTTATGTAAATTGTGAATGTTTTTTACTCTTAGGATTGATCAACTGTTATACCATAGACGAGCAAATCGAATTCTGTCACAAACTGCTTCCTTACGCCGGCAAGTGTTTGAACAATATCGTTCAATAAAACAAAATGTCAAATTAGAAGGACGCTTGAAAAAGCGTCTAAAATGCTTAACAACCGCTGCAAAGACTAGTGCTAATACTACATCAGATATTCTACGACTTTTTGATATACCCGTTCATAGAACGGTAGAAGCAAAACGTAGGAAACGAACTTCTATTGGGGGAAAGGAGCCGTGTGCCTTTCAGAAAACGGCAAAATGTACTAAAGATGCTCTACCGTTTACTAAGCATTGTTTAGAGCGTAAGTTACTAGGCATAAAAATAATATCTCTTTATCATCTAAATTAACTTGCGGCTTTTTAATAGATATAACATACAACGTAAATCAACAATTATTCAATTTTTGCACAGCAAAATGTGCTAATCAAACTCCTTGTAGAGCGCCAGTATTTGACATAGTCAATAATATGGCGTTGTGCCCAAAGCACTCATCCAACTCATCTCAACAAACCAGCAACCCATTCAAAAAGATACGTCGTAAAACGAAACCGTCCGCTTTAACTCGTCCTCAAAGAAAAAAGAAAAAGAAGACTACAACTCAGAAATCTGATAGAACTGTGACTAATACGATAAATTCTCAATCTAAACACAACAATAATAGCATACCGTCTAATGCTCATGTGGTAGAAGAAAATACTAAGGAGAAGGATGCTGTAATTTTTACAGATATCGACGAGGCTATTCAACAAGCAACAGCTCTTCTAGAAGAACAAGATTTTAATTTTGTATTAAATGGATTAAAAGACGACGATGGATTCGCAGATTTTCAAGATATTGAAAAATCTTTTAGTGAAAACGAATTAAAGAAATTATCTTTAAATTTTACCCCTAATGAATCTAATGATTAAAAGTAAACTATAAGAACATGCAGCTTTTTCAACATTTCAAGTCGGTGCTTCTTAATTAATACTTCATGAAACAAAACATCATTATTGATCCTCTTTTTTTGCTAGATTTAATAAAATATATGTATATTTATACGTATATCAAGGTATATTTATATATATACTATATATATATAGATATATATATAAATATATTTAAACTCTTTCTCTCGTTTGTTGTGTAATATGATAAATACAGAGATTTTTCTTCTTTTCCCCTAATTTAATATGCTTATTTTTTTAAATAGAAGTTTATTATAAATCTTTGACTCTAAAACGGACCCGTCCAAAACATTGCAAAAGGAAAAAAGAATAAACAAGTCAAACATGATGAGCTATAAATGTAGAATAAAGAGGATTAGCATGCTCTAAACAACTTAATACGGATCAAAATAAATGCTTATAACTTATATAACAAAGGGAAAGTATAAGGAAAATAATAAAAACTAGGCTTATACAAAATAAAGTATTTTTTTCATTTTAAATGTCTTTTTCTCAAACTTTTTGATTACTCTTCACTTTTCTTGGGGTTCCGGAAATAGAATGCCGAGTTTGGCTTTGATTAAGTCTGGAGGATAATGGTGGTTTGTCATTAGATTTATTACTTCCCGGGCTTTTTGTGGTAGAAATTGATGTCCTGGGAGTACCCCTTGATGAAAGGGGTGTTGACTGGTTGCTAATAGGGCTGTACTTTGATGATGAAGTCAAGTTGGAGGCAGACCCTAGAAGGTAGAGTTTTTATAGAAAAGGACTAATAGTTTAGAAAAGATAGCATAAATGATCTACATTTTTTTTTCGTTTATAGCTAAAATGTTTAAGGAAAATTAATTGAAATTTTGTAAAAACTGTTAAATTATACTAAATAAAATAACAAAACAATAGGAAATTAAGAGCAGAAAGGAAACACAAACCAAACTGTCTAGAATTTTTTCGCTCATCATTCGAAAATGTTCTTTTCACAGCAATTGGAGAAGTATTAAGATTTGCGCAGGATTTCGCTAATCTTTGATTAGATGTTAGAGAAACTGGAGTAGAAAAACGTCTATTTCCACTACTTAAACTAGTTGTACTTCCAGCACGACTTAAATTAGCTGTAATATATTGCTGTTAATTAGCATTAATGAAGCTAAAGTACACTCGATTAATTTAAGCAAATTAAGAATTCAAATAGAAGCAATAAATAGAGTGTTTGTTAGCACATCTAAAATATAATAGAGTCTTACTAGGCGTTCCAGATCCGGAACTATACCCACTTCTCGGAGTGCTAGATTGTCTTTTTGGAGTAAAAGATGATCTAGTCTGAGAAGAACCATTAGGAAGAACGAAACTTTCACGAAGTTCCGAAGTAATTTTATTAGCTAAAAGAAATATAAAAGTTATAAATTTAAACTAGAATATGTTTTTGTTTATTAAAATATTAGTACAAAATAAAACTCTCTACTCACATCTGCAAGGATCATTTTGTTCTAAATATTCTGCAAGAGTGACCCATCCACCTCCTACTCGTACCATAACAGTATTGTTTAAAAATCTCACTAAGCAAATCTTTTGCTTTTCTCCAAACTGAAAGGACACGAAACGTGAAGTAATTTATAAAAAAAACAACTAATTAGTACCTTATATTTTCCATCTCCAATTTTGTCAACTCTCATAGGCCTTCTACATTGACATCTAACTACTTGTTGTTCAATTTCATCGTGAACAAGTTCAGCATCCGTTTGACGTTTTTTCGAAAATGTTCGCTATTAATAGACATAAATAATAATTAGAAAAAAGAAATCAATAACGTTAAAAAACATTAATACACCGAATATATATAATAAGCGTTTCATATAAATAATAAAGAAATTACAATAGAATAATAATGGAGGAGAGATTCATGCTAAAATATAAAAAATTATAATAACAAAGAAATGCTCAAATTCCCACATCATTCAATATAAATATTATAGGAGTATCTAAATTCAGTCCAAACAAATAAAATATATTCCTCATTCTGATAAATCAAACCTCAAAATTTTTGTCTGTTGTTTTAACGGGAATTTTTGATTTTCTATCCTCAAACGGGGTATATAATTTACGTCTTATCATAGACAATCGTCTCTTAGTTTCCAATGTGGAATATACGAAGGATCGTCTCTTTTTTTTTAGTTATATTTTTATATTTAACGAGATGAAAGGGAGAAAAAGAAAATAAATAATTAGAAGAGATCAAATAAAATACATAAATAAGAGATTAAACAAATAAAAACGTTGATTCTCTGAATGATGAGTACGTTTATAAACAGTATTTAATTTATATTATCTATTAAATAAGCAATATGTCTTCTAGTTTAAACAGATTTGTAATAAATAAGACTATTTGTTCGGGTATTTTTTCTTCTATTCATTAATATTTGCTTGCTTTTAATAGAATAAATGATTATACTAACGATCCTATCAGGTCTGAGTGCCTCGATAAATTCCGTATAATCTAATTCGCCTGAATGATCCCGATCGAAAATATCGAAAACAGCGTTCAATTCCGTTCGATTGGTAGGAAATTCTGTTAATTAGATTCATTAGAGAAGAAAGGTGATAAAATAAATAAATTTCATTACTAGAAGCCATCATTCCATCGACAAAATCTGCTTTACTTAATAAACCGTCTCCTTTTTTATCTTGTCTTCTAAAAAAGTCAGTGATCCTTAACTTTTGCGCTTTTATCCAGTTTATATATCTTTTCCTCCATAAATCAAAATCGAAATTCTTAAAGCTTTCCAACTGTAATAATTAGATAGTTTTTTAATAATTATACTTTTCACTCTAAACGTTATTCTTTTCTATATAATAAATTACTTCTATTAATGCATCAAGGCAATCTTGTAATCTTTTCTTTCGGTCAACTGATATTCTCCAAACGGCTCTCCACTTGTTGGCTAATAGAAGGGCTCTTTGCGATGGACTTTCCCAATCTGTATGCAACGTTTTGCTACTACCCAAAATTACTCTAACATCTCCAGAAACAGATAATTTCGTAGCTTTTTCAACTTCGGGTTGTTTCATTGACAATTCGTCATGTAATTCCTAAATAAATATTATAGAAAAAGTAAAAAGGAGAGAGTTTAAAAATATTTCAATCTGTTTAAGATTCTATTCAAACCATATGTTCTTTTAAGAGTGCCTCAACAACTGTTAAATCTTGGGGAATTGTGTCTTTTTCTTTTGTAGCTAGGAAAGTTTGTGTCTCACTAACCCAAGCCAATAATTCGGCAACTATTGCGGCATTTCCTCGAACAGCTCTTAAAGCTTCCTGTAATCTACTTGATCTCTGAGCACATCTTGATATCGCCTGGTCCCATCTTGTACTGGTAATTGTTAGAAAATATTTTATACAACGAACAGCATTCGGATGACAATTTTCCAAGATTCTTATTGTCATATCACGAATTCTCTCTATCTGAGCCTCCTCAGTTTTCAACTCTTCCCTGAGTTTCTATTATTAGAAAATATAGAAACAATTAGCGAATCAATTAAAAGAAGAAAACTTACTTCATGATTATCCATTAACGTAATAATTGCATTTTCGTCATCAGGTAAAGTTTTAAATTTTAACTCGTGCTCCACTCTAGGCAACCAATCTCGAACTTTTTGAACCGTTTCGTTTAAATCTTCAGCCTTAAATATAAAAACACAATATTTTTTATAAGGAATAGGATAAATTTTCCTATAAAAGTATTTACCATTCTAACTGCGTCTTTCAGTTTTTCAACTCTAACTCGACTTAGTGCTTTAACCCTTTTCCATGCTTCGGCAAGATCATCCAATTTTGCTTTTAAGCTTTCATCTAAATCGGGAAGAGCTTGTAATGCACTTACAACGCTTTCTTTAGTTTCGAGTTCCTCTTCGAAAGCTTTATGATGCTCAACAAGTATAGAAACAGTTTCTAAGTCGCCCATCGTTGGTTGATCAGGAGCTAGATAAGCTTCGGCTTTACTCAACCAATCTGCCAAGGACGACATTGCATCCTCAATTCGGCCCGAATTTAAAAGCGCTTCGTCCAACTTGTTTTGCCTGTTGTCATTCAATTTTTCGTTAGATTGATTATCTGAACCTCTCAAATAGTCAAAATCATTAACAAAATGAACTTTGAAAGCAGACGGGGAAAGAATTTGGAACGTTTCATTTTGACGTCCATAGTCCTCTAAATTTTTTTCATCTACAACAATGATATTACTACTTTTAGTACTATTGTTATTGTTATCGTTGCTATTGGTGTTTTCGTTATCGTCATATTCATAAATAGTATTCAAATCGCTTGAACTATGTTTTCTGGAAAATTTCGACGGTTTAGCTAAACTAGGTGACTGGGGTAGTTTTAATAAATGTTCCTGCTTCATAGTTCCTTGTTCTTCTACTTCATTATCGTCAAAATCTCCTTCCTCGTTATCATTCTCTTTTGTATCATCGAAAACTTCTTTTATACGGAAATCTTTTTCATCAGCTTCCTTCTTATACTGCAGTATATTCTTATCAGTTTCATCTTCCCATTCAGCAATGCCTATAATCAATTATGATATTGAAAATATCTCTAGTTTTACAATTAAAATATTAATATTAAAATTGATAATAAGCATTCCTTCTTCATCGCTATCGTTCTCTTCAGATTCGTAATCAGAAGGAGCATCTGCTTCCTCTTCTTCGAACGCATCAAGAAAGTTAAAATTTATTGGTTCATCCGATCGATTAGGGGATTTAACTATATTTTCTTATCCATTCATGGGAGAAATCGAGGCATTAATTGACAATAGTAAATCATCAAATATTCATAAAATATGAATAGAAGTATAATGAATTACTGACATTATTGTGGTTTTCTAGAAATTTTCATTCTTACATTGTCTGATAGTACAATCTAACAATAGAGAATAAAAATATTGGTATAAAAAATCATATAAATATATCTATATATCTAGAATATGTCTGCCTATCATCATAATTCCTTGTAAAAATAACGTTTTCTTTACATGACTGTTCGGTAGAAAGAGGGTTTATTATCCGTCCTTAATTGGATTGAATAGGGGCGTTGTCCTCATCAATTTGATATCTAACAATTATTTACATAATTTCTATACAAATTTTTTACGCTAAGCTATTATTTATATTTCGTAAAATTCTAATTTTAGAGATAATACATATATATATATATATATATACGTTTATACATTAACCTATAAAATGCCTATAGATACTATTAAACTTACTATAGTATACAGAGTATACACTATAAATTATCAATAAAACTTAAATTACTATTCAAATTTAGTATTATCTAATAATAATAAAAAATTATTTAATTCATACGTTCAGCCCCGATTTCCCCGTTCGTTTTATCCCCGTTGTTCATCGTCAGTTTATTATCTGTTGTACTCCATTGTTTTCGGCGGGAATTATCCATATCAGGTGAGACAACAAAGTCGTTTTTATCAGTTGAATAAATATACGCAGTATAGGATTTTTAGAAAACAAAAAAAATAACAATTTTTGTTATTTTTATCCAAAAATACCAATAAAAAAAGAACAATAACGAATAAATATTGTTTGGGAATATATTGTGGAATGAAATCGTCAATATCCGAAATCAGCACCAAAACGAACACATTTAAAATAATTCTTCTTGAAAAAAATATATACACTTGACTATAACAATCTACTTTTCACGGCTCTCTCAGGGACTTCAATACTATTTCAGGTTCAAGTTAAACATTAAAATAGGCCTATTCAAATCATATGGGAAATCTCTTTTTTTTTTTTTCAAACAAGAATAGTATTTATACTTCATACTATATATATATATATGTATGTACATATATATCTTGTTACTACGAATTGTTAGCATAGATATATTGGCTAATAGAGTTAGAGATAGAGATAGAGAGGTAAGGGCAAGGGGAGGTAGGAAAAAGGAGAAAAGGCAATATATATATATATATATATATATATATAGTATATATTTAAAAAAATAGACAAATTGAAAAAGGGATTTTGATAGTAAATATTCCAGGTTTAATGATCGCTTAACAACAAAGCTTTTATTTTAGGTTATATTGCAGGATCCAATTTTAAATGACATAAACCTCAATGTACTCGGCCTACTTTTACGATCAATTCAATTTTGAAACTATCTTTTATGTTACTATCTAAAAACATCCTGTCAAATTTCAACAAAAGATATCATTTTCAACTAAATGGGAGTAACTTGTGAGTATAATACGTGGCTTTATAGGCTTATAGATAACCGTTGATTCTTTCAAATTTTAAATACTAATAGTTTAAACACCATCAATTGCTTTCAAAGTTCTTAGTAAAAATGAATTACTTACCTTTGAGCAGCAATAGATCTTATTATAGACCACTTGTTTTTCAATTCTTCCAGCATAGCAGAGAGTACTTTACGTTCGGGATCTTCTTTTGTACAACGTTCCTTAAGACTTCGTCCTAATCTCATAGTCGAATAATACACAGGGTGTATAGAAGAGAGTTCGTGTTGAAAATGCTAGAGTTTGCAAGACAAGAATAAATTAATATATTAGCAATATTATTTTTATTAATAATAATAACAATAGTTTAAAAGAGTGTCTTTAATTATCATTAACACTAAAAACATTAGCATTATTTGCATTTCAATAGCTTTAAAGAATTTAGGGGAAAATAACAGAGACTATTCTCATAATGTTCATATCAATTTAATTTCGTTAGTATCAGAAAATAAAAAGAGAAGAAAGATAAAAAGAAAAGATACATCTACGTTATGCTATTATATAAATCTATGCAACAACTCATTAATTCATCAATTCATCAATTTTCATGTAATAAGAGATAGAATAGAGTGTTTAATTAAAGCAACACATGTCAAAGTACCAAACCTTAAGGATTTTTTCGCTTTCTTTTGTGTTTTCCTGCATTTTTTGTTTTTACATATTATTGTTCTATCATTGTTTGTCTTAATGTAAAGATAAGAATAGCGAAATCGAAGAGAAAGACTTGAAAGATAGATAGACAGTAAAATATGATAATTTTATGGAATATATCTAATTTTTTATTATATATGACGGTCATACTTCAAGAAACAAAGGGGGAAAGATAGAGAGAGAGAGAGAGAGAGGATTAAAATAATAGAAGAATATAAGATATATATTGATAGATAGTATAAATAACATTATAATTTATAGCAAAACATTTGATATATATAGAATTTCACAATTGTCATTTTTTCTGTTATTTCGGAGATGAAAAAGATATGATTTACATTTAGTTTTCTTTTTTTTGTGAAACTCCAATTATCAAAAATTTTCTCTTTTCAATGCGCTTAATAATCTTTGGCAACCTCTAACTATAATTTATATATAAGAGTAATATGAATAGCTTTTCTCTTTTTATGCGTATAGTAGGAATTTCTACTATATATATTGTTATACTATATATATATAGTATAATGTCTTTTGCTGACCTTATAATAGCCGAATTTCTAATTAAATTGATTATAATTAAATATTAAAGTTTCTTTTCTACTTTGTTTAATTAATTACTTTAATTAGATTTTGTTATAATAAATAAAAATTGTTTTATAAAACGTTACCCTTGAATCTTCTTTGCCATTTCCGCTCATTACGGATGTGTTTGATGCAAATTGTCGTAATTTATCTTCGCTATGTATAGATATAAATAAATATATAAACTAGGTATTATATTTATGCTATTTAAGTTTTAATTACCTATCACTTATCCAATCGCAAAGATGGCGCCACGAGTCATCAAATCTCTTGTCTTCTTGAAAAGCTTGTTGCAATCTCCTACCTCTTTCATCCGCTTTCCTAACAAGTTTTTTCCATCTCAAGCGAATTTCTATTAATAGATTCTTTACTCTAATAGTATCGGCTTTTCTACCAAAGTATTTTAAGTAAGTTCCAGATTGATCCAAATTTTGCATCACATCTCTATGAGTTTCTATATCTCTTTTAAAAGACTAAAAAGAAGCATTCATTTAGAAATAAAATTTTGGATTTCGTTTCGAATATAAGAAAGAATTACTAACTTCGTGCTCTAGAATCTGTTCGCCACATCTCTCAACAAGTTTACTTGGATGTTTAAGACTCTTTAAATGTAATTCAGTCTTATCTAACCATCCAGTATGAATTTCGAGATTTAAATAGAATCTTCTAACATTTTCCAGATGCTCTTCTATTTTAATACGTCTCCTTTCCGCCTTATCTCTTGTATCGTACATACTTTTCCTTAATCTATTCATACTTTCCTTAATTTGTTTCCCATCTTTTTTGTTACACCTATCTAGAATATCGCTACCTCTTAACAAGATAGCTTCAACTTCAATATCTCTTTTGCGTAAGTTTTGAAACATTTTCTCGAAATTGGCTGCTTGTCTTTCAGCTCCTTCAAGGGTTGCACCGAGGGGAGAATTCGTCTTTAAATTAAACCTTATTTCAGCTAATAGACGTAAGTAATCATCGACATCTCCCAAATAGCACTTTATTTCCCTGAGTGTATCTTGAAGATTATTACGTTTATTTCGAAGTTCAGATTGAACAATTTTTAGACAGTCTTTAATTTCATCCATTTTCTCCATAACTTTAGGAGATTTTTGACCAGAGCTCTTTGAAATATCATCGATCGCCTTTTGAAGTTTTGGTAAAGTTTTTACAGTCGTTTTCAATTCGGTATCGATAATTCGTAGCTTTCTTAATTGACTTTCGATGTGTCTAGGATCTCCGTAAACATCTCCCATCTCTTGCAGATCGGCCTCCGTTTGTTGTAATTGGCCAAGTATATCATCTAAAGAGTGGTCTAATTCCCCAATTGCAACAAGAGAATCTTTAAGTTTTCCTTCTCTATCATTTACTCCCTTTAATAAATCACTCCATCTCTTAGTTACATTCTTAACTTTTGGTTGTAGGCTTTCAGCCGTAAAAGGAGACATTTTTCTTAAATCTTGAGAGTATTGAATAAGATCTTGAATATCGGAACATTTCGGATAAATTTGTGCTTTTAAAACCTAAACAATATTGTTGAAGAGTTTCAGTTTAAATTATTAAAATTAAATAAATAAATAATATCAATGAACTACTTTTAATTCTTCAATTTGAATTCTAACAGAACGAGGATCAGCGGCTATATTATCAGCCTTAGCTAGTTGATGTTCAAATTTTGGTAACCATTCCAATATGGACTAAAAGACAGTATAGAAATAATACATTATTCAATTTATTGTTATTTTGTCTATTTAGGTTTGTTACCGCTAATAAATTCTCAAAATCATCTGCTCTTCCCAAGTTACTAGATAATTGATAATCTCGCTCGGTTAAATCGTCATTAATTGATTCCAATAAACTTTTAATTTCCTAATTTATTTTTTCAAGAAAAAATTAAGGGATTACCAATTTAATCAGAATTGAATGTGAGAATACCTCTTCATTTTCCCTTATTTCCATTTCTCCTTCATTTCCGCATTGCTTTATTAACTTATTTGCCAAATCTTTTCGTTTCTTTATCAACTCTTTTGCTGGCATCAAATTACTTTTAATCATTTCCAATTCTTTTTGTTGTTCTCTAAGTACGTCCGGTTCGACTGAAGGGATATCTTGAGATTGAAGATTTTCATAAATTTCAGTTAGAACTTGAATGGCTTCCAGATGAGCTTGCTGTAAAAAGTTAATAATTTTCAATAAATGTATGTTTTAGAGAGAATAAGAGAAGTTTTTCGTGTACCTGATAATCATCCACTAGCCCGAGAGCATTCTGATACTCTTCTAATTTAGCTGAACCTTCCAGTTTTAGTTTATTCTTAAAATCTTCCAGGTCATTCAATTTCGGTATTAAACCATCTAATGAAATGAAAAAAGGCAATTATGAGAATGATAACATCAGAGAAATTTTACTTTTCCTACCAGAGGAAGAATTCATATCTGGTTCACCATTTGAAGCATTATCCGCCACTTGATTCTTAAGACTTGAAATTGCTTTTTCCTTTCTATCGACATCGTCCAGGATATTCTTCATGGAGGCAAAGATAAGAAAAAGTATTGCAAGCCAATCTTTTTAGTAATCATATATGAGTTTTATTTACCTTGGCTCCTAGAATTCTTTCTTTTATAGCATCAGTATTAACTGATATTGGTTCTAAATTCAAAAGATCATTTTTAACAGAATGTAAATCTTCAGATAAATTATCCATATTGTCTGATAACTAGATAAGAAAATAGCAAAAAAACAGACAAGTTAGTAAAAATACTAAAAGAAAACTATGTATTAAACTGACGTCATTGGCTAGTGATGACATAATATCTTCAATATCGTTTAATTTATCTCTGGTAGCTTGTTTATTTTCATTGTATCTTTTGGAGACGCTATCTAGCTCCTTTTTCAATTCAATTGCATCATCGTCAAGACAGAGTTCAATTAAATCTTGACCATCTTTCATGCAACCATCTAATAATGGTTTATTATCTTCAAAAGATTGCAATAGACTTTTAGCATTTTCGTGTACCTTCTTAACTTGATGAGGATTAGCATTCTTAATATTTTCAATATCTAGACACTTTATTTCTCCTTCAACTTCTTTTATCCAATTTTGTAAATTGGATAAAGATTCTGTAAAATGAGTAGCTAATGGAACAGCTTCTCTCAAAGTAGATAATTTCTCGTCACTCATCTTATTAACAAGGTCACATTCCGATTGTAAAGCTGCAATTTTGTCAGCCATTTCTAACGGAGTATCCTCCTCGGAACTTGGCGCTTCTCTGATCAATTTTGAACAAATATCAATGAGAGAATCAATAGATTTCTTTCTGTCTTGTAATTCTTTGTGTGCCTTTTCATGTTGATCCAATTGTTCTTGTAAACTTTCCGGATCAAGAGAAATAGGTTGAACAGTTTGAATATGAGTTTCTATATCTTCCAATTGATTAAGATGATCATCAATTTGACCTGTAGCAGTTATAGCAGCGTAATGTAGCAGAAGGTCACTTAATTCATTTAATTTCGCTTGGGCAGCTGATGATGGATCAGTAATAAATACTTCATCAAGAGTTTGCGGATCGTTCGTTAATTTTTTAACATCTCTCTTTATATTATCTATTTCGGCTTGTTTAGAATTTTTTTCCGATCTTAGCTTGTCAATTTTTTCATGACTCGGATTAGAAGATCTTTTAACCGATTTTACGATAGAAGATATCCATAAGTCAATTTTCGAACAGCCATCTAATATGGAACTGACACTTTTTGAAAATTCTCCAACTTTTAAAATTTTGTTATCGATAGCATTATCAAGTTTATCTGCAATTTATTAAAAAGTAAGTATAGTTTTCATTTATTAAATTTATTAGACAGTTAAATATTTACCTAGTTTTTTATCCAAATGTGATACTACAATTTTTACATCTGGATTTTTAGATGAACTATCTAAAATTGCTCGTCTCTTCATACATTCCTTCTTAAGCATGGAAAGCTTTTCCTGTTCTTCAAAAAGTTTAGAAGGATCAAGACTTATTATTTCATCATTCTTAATATTTATTATTTCATCGTCAATCCACTTTTCCATCTTTTCCAAATTGGCTTTTGAATCTCTTGATTTATTTACAATGTTTGCCAATTCTTCTTGTTTATTATCAACCGATATTTTTAATTTATTAAACTCATCAATAATCAATTCAACATTTTCCTTAATTTCTAAACCTTTTGGTGTATTTTCACAATCTAAATCACTTAGAATTTTCAATAGGTCTGAACCAATTTTTTCAATATCCTCAACCATTTTTCCGGTTGCAAATATATCGGAAGTAACGGCTTTTAATCTTTCTAATAATTTGGCGGCATTTCTAGCTGTTGTATCGGTTAATGAGAAGTCATTAACTTGTTTTTGCAAGCGGGGTATTCTATCCACAAGTGTATCTCGTAGTTGAATATAGCGTTCATGTTTCGATCCTTTAAAAATACATTCATATATTAAAAACCTTAATTAACAGATAAAGCGTAAAAAAAACAAAGGAAAAAGTTGGATGAAATCCAAAAAATTTCATTTTTTTTTTATCTAAAGTAAACAGTTTAAACTAATTAGAATTGTTTAAATTAACAAAGAATAAAACACATGTATGTAATCGGAAATGGTGAAAAGTTAAATGACACTATTCTATAAAAGTAGATAGATTAATTAAAGAATACTTAAAGCCTGGTTAAATAAGAACAACTAAAGGTAGAAGTAATATGAGTAATTTTTTTATTTACCTGCGTCAGAGAGTTCATGACTCAGTCTATTACACTGAGAAACAACATTTTCCAAAGATGAATGGGCTTTTACAATTTCATTTTCAATTATTGTCGATGCCGAAGGTGAATTGTTGTTGTTACTTTGATAGCTCTTGAAGAAAGAAAAAAAGGCAAACAACTTATTTACGACGAACGCGATTATAAGATTTTTTAATATTGGAAAATATCATTTAAAAGTAAAGAAAACATATTAATATATAAAATAAATAAATAAAACCTGATCATATTGTAAATTAATATAGAAAGAACTTGTAAAAGTTTTAGATGAGTCGCTTGCCATAATCCAAACTAATCTGGCAAAGATTAACTGCTAATTATACTCCTTATCTACATAATCCGACTAATTTTTTCATTCCGTTCTTTTCCTAACTCAATTACAAAAATGTCAAAATGTCCTACTATCGGACCGATCTAGATTTCAACAATTAAAGTTAAAACTCCTATCATTCAATTTGTCATAAAAGAAGAATGTAAAATGTCAGTATCAATTTAAAGAATACAATAAAAGTATAGGAAATATTCATACCATTACAAATTGTGATGAAAAAATTCGTTTAAATAGCAAAATATATCCAAATTTTAGGCTAGAAAGTAAAGTAGTAATAATATCTACTTACTACTCTTTGTATAAGAGTATATATATATAAATATATCTATATCTGGATATATAAATATTTATATATAGTATATATTATATACTTCTCTGTCTCCGTCCATTTATATATATCTATATATATAAGTAAAAAAAAAGCAACGGTTGAAATATTGAACAAGTAAAATTTCTATACAACGCTTGGCGACGTTTTGAAAATGGAGGATTTTTCAATGCTATTCAGACTAGTCGTGACGTACCCCCCCTTCCCCAATTATTTTGCCATAAATTATCCGTAAATTGCGTTAGATTAAAGAAATAGAACTAGGTAAGGCAATAAAAGTTGGGCTTATTTGCTCATAAGTAATAGTTTTATACATTAAAAAAGGATAAAATTGCCGGTTATTGCTTAAAAAATTATCAATCCTTTTTCAATACTAACACCTCTCTTAACAGATTTATTAAGTTTAATATATTCTTTTTAACCATATTTTACTTTTAATATAACCGCCCTCTCCCCCTTTGTTCTTTATCTTTATATCTATCTAACTATCTATCTATATGGATATCTTGTACCCTATTTCTCTACTTTTTGTTATGAATCATATAAATTTCGTATCTTTTTCATATTATAAAGTATTTTTGAATAATAGCACTTAAATTATGTCAAAAACCCTTTTGGAGAAAAATATGAATAGTACAGTCTGGAATGAAAATAACAACTACCTTTAAACAGCCTATATTTGAACTCAAAAACAACTTTAGTAAATCCGGATTAACCTTTTGATAATATCTTACAAAGTAAGACTTACTTTGGCCAAAGAAGAATAGGTTTTGCCCACTTTCTTAAGGGATTGAAGGTCGTTAGCTTTTTCCAAACATTCTCCACCAATACCCTAATTTGATCCAAAAAATGTTACGTAACTTCAACAAGTTTCTTTAAAATTATATAAATAAAACAAACGTCTATAAAGTCTTGAACATCTTCGAGATGCTCCAAATCAGCACAGCATAATTTTAGTTTATTCAATTCATCTTGTTTCTTTTCACACCAAGTCAACAAATCGTTCGTGTCTTGATAAAAACGTAAACGAATTTGTTTTAAATTCTCCATGTCAGTTGATCTTAGAGCAAGTCGTTCTTGAAGCTTTTAGGAAAAGAAAGAAACTTTTACTCTTAATAGATATCAATAATAGTATCTAATATATTACATCCATAGCATTTCTTTTCAGCTCTGCCACATTGTATTGTAATTGATGCTGATCTTTATTCTTTTCAGCCGAATCAAGATGACTTTGAGACTCTTTGATGCAATCTTCAAGCTTATTCTTCTTTTCTTCGAATTCAGAAAGGACGCCCTGTAATATACTTTCCTGTTTCTCCTCCTCTATTGTTGTCAGAGGGGCATCTTTAATTTCATCTAGGGCATCTTTTAAACCATTAAGCCAATTTAGCCAAGCTTTGGTTTCAGACACATTTCTAGCAGTAGCACCTTCTTCTACGACAACTACTCTACCACTTTTCGAATCAATCTTTAATTTTGAATTTTTGTCTACTTCACATTTTTCAAGAGCTTCTTTTAATGGCATTTGACGACCGTCGGGTAGAGTAATTATAATATCACCGGCTTTTTCATTGTTAATAATATCACTAATCACAACAGTTTTCTCTACTAAATCGCCAGGTTTTATCTGGGGTTGAATTAAACCTGCTCTTATAGCTTGTTCAAGAGACAGAGAGTCACCAGTTTTGGGATCATAATATTTTTTCAATTGGGTATCTAAACGTCTGTCGTCAACAAGAGACCCTAAACTTACAACTCCAGTATTCTGATCCATAACAAAAACATTTTTAGGATCAATAGAATCCTTAAAGCTATGATCTTCAAAGTTCAATTTTTTGGCAACAGCTTCTAAAGGGCTTTCAGTGTCAGATACCGGTTTAGTTCTTTTCATATAATCGTTTAGAGAATTTTTAGCGGCAACGTCTAATAGTTTTAATCCAGTTTTTTGAGAAATTTTCCCCTCTTTAATGGCTTGGTGAATAGGTATATTTTTACCTGTTTTCGTATCTTGATGAGTAAATTGTGGAATATCCAAAACAGACTTTAGGACAGCGTCTTTGACGGTTAGTTCTTTCTTGTTCAAAGTATCTTTTATACCACCAGCTGACGTATCCATACAAGAATCAAGAAGTCTCAAGCCGGAAATACGATTTTTCAATTTTTTTGATTCAATCTTTGGGTTAATTATTCTTTGCCTATAATGAAAAACACACTTGAAATATTTACACTATATAAATAAAATTAACTCACTTCGAAGGAGAATTGATAACATCTTCAAGAGAATATCTTCTCCCATCTAAATAAATTCCATCTTCAACTGAAGCAACTGAGCAAATCATTCCGTCAGATAAACGTTCGAAATAGACACATTCTGGTGAATTAGATCTCAAATCTACATTTGCCAAACATCGTTTTTCAACTGCATTCAATATTTCAGAACTAGCTTTATAGTCAACCAAATTTTCAACAGCAGCTTCTACAAGAGTAAGTTTCTTTCCTTTTTCAGTATCTTCAACAGAAACTTCGTCTAAATGCAGAATTTCACTAGTAATCGCTTCCCGTATTGTTTTTGATTGACCTTTTTTTGTATCTCTAACTTTGCCTGAGTTTGCATTAAAATTTCCATCTTCTTTTAGAATTTCCAAAGCGATACGACTTGGATTATTTGATTCCAGGGCCTATTTATTTATAAATAATACAAGATTAGTTGTTATTTAAGTAGGAAATGAGATTACGTATGTTTAAATAGTAGAAAGATACGAACCTGTAATAAATCAGCATTTAAGGTTGGGCTTAGTTTTAGTACAAAAGCCTCTGGATCATTAACAATCCGAGCCTTAACATTTCCCTTTACTATGGCTTCGGATAAGGGAAGGAATTCATTACTTAAACTATCAATGTATTGAAGTTCATCATTAAACAATCCCGAGTCAATAGCTTCTTTTAAACTTATCCAACAATTGCGAGTTGGATCAAACACTTTAAGTATTTCAATATATTTTTCAACAACATCATCAGCTACATCTGGAGCATCAGCTTCGTCAAGCCGCTCTCTAGTTTTTGTTGAAAGGACTTGAATAAGATTTTGATCAATTGCGGAAGAAATTGACATTTTCTTTCCAGTTTTTAAATTTAAATATTCAGATGTTTCTTTATTGATAATTTTCCTCCTAACCGATTCTTCCAATGGAATTTTTTCATTTTTCGACGTATCAGTAACAGACAAAACTGTATAATCTATAATTTCGGTAGTTGTCGTCAGAGTAATTACACAATTATCATTCTGTGTCACTTCCGTTTGAGAATCAGTAAATTCAGCAATGATTAAGCCTCGATCCATAGCTTCAGGTATTGGAATGTTCATATTTGTCATAAAGTCAACATAGACTCCGTGTATTTGATTAATAACTCCCTTATTCAATGCTTCGTGCATTGATATTCTTTGCTTAGTTCTTGGATGAATAACGCCGACAATTATAAAATGTTTAGTTTCTTTAATTGTTTGCTGATTGATCTTTTCACTTTCTTTTCCTTCGCTTTCTGATTCGATAGGTTCATCTTCTTCTTCCGGTGGAGTCTCAAAATTTGGTGCTCTCTCCGACAGAGTTAAAAGGCAGTGTTTATCAGCGTCAGGAATTCTTAAAGAATTTTTAGACAATATAAATTATTTATTAATTATCATAATTTAGTTATCTTACTGCTGTACATAAGCTTTAGCAACATATTTCGCTTCAATAGGACCTTGTTCGTAAGCTGATCTTTCGTTATCTTTAATAAGAAATTTCTTATCGTCCGAATAGGCTTTAAGATCCTAAACAAAAGACAACCAATAATCAACAAGAAAATTTTTAATATAATATCTCTGAAAGAACTAACCCTCATACATTTTAGAACTTTTGCTAAATCTTCAAAATCATTTTTTAACTTCATATTTGCTTTGTTATTTGCTGAATCATATAATTAGTTCATAATCAATTAACAGACATGTTCATTTTTTTACACATAAAAGAAATAAAGAAAAGCTGATTAAATAAAAAAATTATCTACCATTAGTAGGTTTTTTATTATTATTTTTACTGTTTTGCCTCCAAGTTTTACATTCTCTTTTAATATTATCATAGGGTTTAGATTGTTTCACTGGCCTAAGTACTTCTTCCATGTCATTTAAGTAACCAAAAACTTTTCCCTTGAATTTTTCATCAACTAGCAATTTTGCCTGAAAGATGAAAGGAAAGATAAATTTTTCTATATGTGCCGTACATATCGCCTGCTTTATTAAGTTCAAAGAAAATTAATTATTTACCTCAGTTGCTGGATGAGATTTGAAAAAATCTATGCAATTTTCTGTAAGCTGATCTTGTAATGATTTTATAGAAGTTTTCCACAAAGAACGTAATTGATCATTTGTTCTTTTAGATAAATCAACTGCACTCTTATTTGGAGCTGGAATTAATATAATAAGCGAAGGAACAATAGCAACGACGCCATTTTCCTTTCTTATTTTCCATTTTTCTCCAGTATTATCTTCAATCATTACATACTCATTTTCAGCCAATTTTATCTAGCAGCAGGGTAAAGAGAGGAATTTAATATATTTTACAAAAGAATGAGATCAAATTTACATCATCTTTTTCGTAATCTATTAAAGCCATAGCCGGAATAGGTTGTTCAAGTTTACGTTGTCTTGCATGAACAGGAACGAGATTAGAAACTTTATGTCTCATATCGTTAACACGTATTTGCAAGTTTAGGAGGAGTTTAGTAACTTCTCTAATCCTGGAACCTAATTCTTCAAGAGATTCTTTTCTTTTTGAGCTTGATGAGTTTTTTTGCAAATGAGCGATAAGGGTGTTAAACCCATGATGAATATGATGTAATTCGTGATAAAACTATTTGAATAGTAAAGTTAACAGTTTAGCGTTTCTATTACATTTCAATCTACTCTAATAAAGATATTTACTTGGTGAAAATAGGCATTATTGCTCAAATGAATTTGTAAACAATAGTTTAACCTGCAGAGCCAATCCCAAGACTCACGAACTCCAAAAATACAATTCTAAAAATTAAAAGAACGGTAGGCGAAAATAGATTTGGAAGGGAAAAGTATTTAATTATTTATTAACGCTAATTAAAAACCGTACGTTTAATAGACAATCTAAGGTGGAAGATTCAACGGCAGCACCATCTGATATAAAACCTGCAGGAAACGTCTCAGGGGATAATTGAATTGCAGTTTCATCTAAACTCGTAGATAAAGTCTGTAAAAAATGTTACAATATTGGAATGAATATGATACATAAAAGCCTTATCTTATCACTAAATAATATATAATAGTTGTAATAACATTGAAAAGATAAGAATCTCTTGCATAATTATATAAATATCAAAGAGTTAGCGAAGAAAAAACCTGTTCAAAAATCATATTAACCTGAATTTTCTGTTCGTAAGAGGTAATTTGGCAAAGAGCGTTCATACAATCCATTTTCTTTTGGCGAATATTCTGTGTAACATACAGAAAGAATCAATGTTAGAAACTGTCAAGTTCAAGGTTACAATCAACAGAAGTATTTTTCATTACTTTTTCACATGAATAAAAACCTTCTCTATCATGGTTTTAAAGGACAAATAGGATCGCGTAAAATAGTAGAGATTAACTAAACACGGATTAATATATCCTATAAATCCTTATTATTGCCTTAAAACTAATATTTAAATAATTAGCTTAGAAAAACGTCAGTAAATGAATAAATATAAGCGATATTTAATATTTTGCTAAACTGTTTCTAATTCGTTACAAATTTCAAAAGTAAGCCAAAATAATAAATCATGAAAAAGCAATAAATAATTAACATTTATAAACAAAGATAAATTAAAATAATGTCATTTAAGCCAAAGCTCTTCAAATTCTATAATAAAAAAGTATATTAAGTAAATTACAGAGATATTTTTGTGATTTATTTACTCCTACATACTCGTACTGTATGTATTGTATATATAAAGATATAGATTCTAACTCTCCCTTCCTCTCTCTCTCTCTCTCTCTTTTGTATAAATATAGATTTATTTTTAGACTGGTTTTCCATATTTATACTTTATTTCTTTTATTTTACCATTTTTCAAACCGCAATTTTCACTTAATATAATAACTACAAATTATAAGGTTCTAATCATATCTTAGTTAATTATATATGTAACAAAAAACTTATAAAGATATTGAAAGTTAACAAAAACTTAACTCAACTATTAAATGATTCAATTCAATTCGTACACAACCATTCAAAATAACCGATTCAAACTAGTTCAATTACTCTATTACACAATAATAAGCTACAAGTTAACCGACGCGGGGGTTCAGCTTTTTTTTTCCTTTCCATACAGTCTTAAGCCCGTACCTTCATTTTTTTTTCATATTTGTTCCACGTCAAATAGTTTTTAAGTTGAATTATGGAAAAATTTCAAATAAAGCTTTTTTTTATATATAAAAAAATCTATTTTTAAACTAGACGTATTCTATTTCCATATATTTCTATTAAACGGTAAAAATTCTTACGTTTTCTCTCCTAAAAAGAAATTCCAATTAATCAAAGGTTTCTCTATATTCGATGCTTTTTTAGTTGATCTAATCTTTCTAAAATCACTTCTCCAATACTATTGATCGGTTCGAGTTTGGTAAGTCAATTGAAAGCTCATTAGTCTTTTATTGGCTAGGTTTGCTCTATTAATTTAATTATATAATTTCTCAAACTTATTAGTCTTCCTCATATACAATATGTAGGCTTAGAGTTATTATTTGCTTAATAAACTCAAATAGGACTTAAATTCAAAGGCACCTACGCTGACGGAAGTAAGTATTTGACAAACAACCTCAACTTCCATTAATATTCATAAAGTTATATATATATATATAAATTATATATATATTTTAGATTTTATTAATAGTACTACCTACTCAAAATCTTTCCGGTAGACAAAAATTAGGCCTACATTTCAGACAAAGAGAAATTGTAGCCTATTCATCCACCAACGGAACATACTCATAAGGACATTTTTGTGAGAATAACTGTGATATGAGTAAGTTAAAACATTCAACACTTTTTTTACACACAGAGGGAAAATCAATAATTCAGGTACATGATGAAAACAACGCACCTGTTCCCTTCAAAAATAAGAAATTAAAATGACTATTTACTTGGTTATTACTGTACTGATCCTAATGTAGAAAAGTTGACGGGTAAATAGGGTAGTTCAGTTAAGTAATATCCAAAAAATTCAACTGAAAACTTTCGGTTTCTTCAAAGCGACATGTGATTAAGGAGAATAGTCCTATCCGATCACATGATCGTATAAAAAAATTACCAAATATGGCTTTGTGTACCGCCGGTCATTGGTCAGATAGAATCACGTGACAGTATGCACGGGAATTCCCAATTTACTAATGAATATTTATAGACCACAACTGTCACGGAAAATATATTAATAACAAGAGAATTTTTTACGATTAGATAAGAATTCATACGCCTTAAATTAACTTATAGAAAGGCACGTTTTTAACATTATTCTGTTTATAAATTTCTTCTAAATTTCCATTAAAACCATATGTTTTTTTTTAAGTTTCTTTATAAAGTTAAAAGTTGTTTATGTCTTTTCTTTTATCTCGAATATTGTGTATACATATATATTACATTATACTAAGAAAAGAACAATGATATATATTAAGAAGAGAAAGAGAGTATTATACAAGAAATAAATACTTAAAAACTAATTTACCCCTATTTATTATCAATATTCTCTTTTTGTAAATTTATGTTATCCATTCCGTAAACAATACAAAAATGAATGAAAGGCGGTAAGGTAGGAGAGGGGGCGAGTTTGTGGGAGGGGATAGGGAGGGGATAATTATTTATTGAATAAAACATATTCTAGATTTAAAGAACGATAGAACATATCGAATGGAGTGAAAAGAGAGAAAAAAAAACAAACTTTAATGGTAGGATGACAGGGCTTAAGCATGAACTCCTTTAAATATATTATTTGTTCTTGAACAGATTTTAGAGGATATCCTTTATGTTTCTCCATGATTTCCTGAAATATTTACACTGTAAATATTTTCTATAAGATAGAAACCTTTTATTGAATTAAATATATATCTATATTGTGTATAATAATAATAAAACTAGTGTTTCATTTGTAGAGAAATTTCATTAAATAATACAACAAAAAAAATAAAATAAAGGAGAATTATAGAAATTAAAAAGAAGAGAAGAGAAGGGAAGAAAAGATATCAATTAGATATAAATGAAAAAATAAAGAGTATTGTTCAGATTTCTGTTATCGTGTTGATTCTACAATTCTAAAACAGTTATAATTTAAAGGATTCTTTTATTTATTTAATCAAAAAAGAATAATAATAAAAACAGTAATATAAATGAAAGAAAGAGAGAGAGAAAGTGAGAAATAGAATAATAGCCTATTATATGTTTTTCTTTTATGATAAATTCAAATCAATTCATGTTTATTTTGACTTGAAATAAATTTCTTTTCTTTTTTTCTTTCTTTCTCTCATTCTATCTCACTTTTTAATATATTTTCAGCGTATTAACTATTTATCCTTCTTTCCCCGTTATATGTATGATTTATACGTTCATATCTAAATATATCTTTCTCTTTTTTATTATCTCTTGCTACTTGACTAGTTATTCATGCATTTCACACTTTTTAACTTCTTATCATTACATTAATTATGAATCTACGCCCACTACTATATTTTAATAAAATTTAGTTTACAAAATATTCATCCCTGTCATTAATGCAATATAATTATAATTGTACACTTAAAAACCACATATAAATCTCCAATGTAAACGTCTTGTTAGAGAAACTATTATGCCTATATTAGTAATTTTAAAACTAGATACTGATAAAATAAATATATCATACTAATACTAACCAATTGTAAATTTATATCATTCAAAGTCATGCGTTTTACTGTTGAATCGTCCATTTTTGCTTTCATTTGAAAAATTTCCAGTTAAAAAGAAAGAATCTTTTCGTTAAAAAAAAAAAAGTTATAAAATTTCTTTTTTAAGCAGAAAGAAAAAGAAATTCGCATGGGAATATTCTCTCGGAGCACCGGTAGTTATCTAAAAAAAAAACCACTAACAAAACTCGACAATAAAAGTATTTATAGTAGGGTAGGACAGCGCTTAAACATGCATTAAAAGCGCCCTCCATTTTTATCAAAGGACATATCCATTAAATAATCTCGATAAAATTTACATTTATATGAATATATTTCATTATTACATTACATAAATAATTGTAATAATTCATAGTATAGTATTGACTAAGATAAGTAGAATGTAATCTTTACCAACCTCTTGAATATTTCTAATTAGTTTCCCAGACTTTTATAAGTAGTGAAATATTTTGTTCAGTAAAAGAAGGGCATATTTTATTGTTAGACCATATACAAAGAAAACAGTAATTTTATAATAGGCTTTTAAAACTATATATATATATATATATATATGTACAATATATTGTTTATAAGTTTATAGCTTATATTGTATATTTTTATATTATACAAGTTCTATTAACAACTGCATTTATTACACAAAACATCTTTAAAACTATTTTTTTCACCTTTTTTTTAAAGAAAAAAGTTTGAAATATGTTGAAAATTGTCGAAAAATCTGTTATTTTATTATTTTCCTTATTTACAAGCAAACAATCTTTCAATTCGACAATAATTCGGCTTATATTTAGGCCTACGTAACGATTGACTATCGAACAAAGCAGGTTTACTTCATTATTTGGCTATTAATTTAGTGCTCATTATTTTTTTTCTTTTAAAAAAATCGTTCTATTTTTTCAGGTTATTATTAAAATACAGTACTTATATAGAAGCAATTATCGTTTAATAAGTTCCCTCTTTCTGCTTCTGCTAAGTAGACTACATAGTATACACTTTACGTCTTAAATACGTTGGGTAATTTTATTGTAGAATAGATGGCGGCACATGTCAGATTTAATAAAGTGCTTAGTACGATAGACGTCTATTTTTATTGTTTCGAGTCGGGAGTTGCTCTAATAGAACAGCAAAGTACAGCATGGTAGACATAACGTGGTGGGTTTGGGCAGAATGTTTCATTCTCGCAGTCATTATTTACTCCTGATCCACACATTCCAGCAACGATCTATAGAAAGAATTATATCAATTTATATTTATTGGAATGTATATTACGTAATATCAACCTCGTTATTATTACACCTCAAATAATCCCCATAATCTCCACACAACCAACGACATCTACGGTGCTGAATACCCTATTTTTTCACATAGACATAAATAAAAGTAATTGTTAAAATATGTTACATATTTACAATAGTAATTATTAAGCTAATTAATATCTTACATAGGTTCCTGGCGGTAGATTTTCGAAGGAGCAGAAGGCAGTTGAAAAGATGGAAAAAAAACAGAGAAATAGCATTAATTTGCTCATTTTCGAGGAAAAAGGTATTCTCAAGTACAGCAATTATTCGGTTGGTTAGAAAATGTTTATTTTTACGTTATCTTTTAAGTAAAGTATGCTCATTCTCACCAAAAAAAATGTTGATAATAAGTAAAAAAAGCTTCAAATTATTCGGCCATATTGCGTAAAAAACAATGAAGATTTTATTGAATATTCTTTTTCTTACCCTTTTCTTACTCTGTAGAGAGTTTGAATGCAACGAAAATACTTACGTAAGAAATTCTATTACGGTTTTTGTGTGTATTAATCAATGATATTATAAACAGAGAATTTCCCATGACGACTGCAGATGGATTTGCGACAGCTATGGAAAGTTTATTCAATGTAGACCCAATGAAATAGCTACTGGATCATGTGGCTCTTCAGATAGGTATGTATGTTTTAATGGAAGTGGCATATAACGTCCCCGCCAAACTTAGATACAAATATATAAACTTTTACATAACTATACAATACTGTAAAAATTCGCTCCCTTTCTATTATATTTTGTTCGTTTTCATACAGTTACGACTGCAACGATGAAATAAAATGCGATAATAACGAAGATCGTATATATCAATCCGTCAGATGCTGCACATTGAAAGTTACAAAGAATTGAATCGATTTTAAATAAAAGCCCTTTATTACTTTGCAAATGTTCCAACTTTGTATTTGCATAATTACTAGATACGTCAGTAGATGACGCTAGTGTATCAATAATTTTTTCTATTTTATGACTAGTTACAGTCACTGTGGAAATACAGTGTGGCACAAAAAGCCAAATACCCTTAACTATTGGCGTCCCCTATTGGTATAATAAGTGAACTAGACAAATCTAAAATCAAAGTAAAGACTAAGAAAACTAAGAGAATTGAATTAACTCTTGGCGCATGCAATTTTGTTGTATCTTTTGATGTTTGGCCGAAAGTCTTTCCGATATAAAAACAAAGAGAAAAGTGCACCATTTTCTCTCGTATAATCTTTAGAGTGTAAGAAACCAAAAAAAAACGCGAAAAGTACTAGAAATTTGAGGAAAAATATCACTATCGACGTTAAAAACTCTCGAAAAATTACCATAATTAATTAAAAAGGTAGAATTATTGAGGTGATAAAATTTTACTACATAGGCGGAGCTTAAATAAAGTAGGAACGAAAAGTTATCCGGCCAATAAGCAATTGGCTCTTGTGCACTTTGTAGCGGACCTTTCAACAGGCATGAGAAAAGTTGGCCGTATATAAATCGAATTCTTCTTATGAATCTCAACTTGTGAAATATTAATAGGAATGAAGAAGAAAATATGAATAATCTCTGCTTTCTAATACTTTTAACCTTTTTTTGTAACTTTTTAACCATAAATTCTTCAAGTTTAATATATTTACTAACGGCAAGATGTAGAATCAATTGTCTGTCAGATTACTACGATAAAGTAAAGGTAAGACTATTTTTTTTCTATTTTTATACTTTATCCCAATTCTTTTCTTTTCCCTTGTTTATTAGTTCAGTTATATAAGATTGTGCAAAATGTAAACAAATCACACCTGTACATTTAAAAGTTACAATAGAGCAGATTGAATTTAATACGCGATGGCATTGCGCAACATCTTAAATTAGCATTTTAGTTAGTGTGTCCGAAATCGTATATTGAATAAATAAACGGTTGACAAATAAGTGTTTAAAAATGCCTGACGGTCTCGAGTGTTTTGAATAAATTTCTTTTATTATTTTGTTGATTTTTTAAGTAAAAAAGAAATGGTAAAGGGAGG